ACAATTCATTAAAATTCATCAAATTCTCACCTGAAAATAGCCATTTTCTATAAAAATTGGCCAATTCCGCTACAATTCATTTTTTCTTGACTATGTTTGTGCTTTTTTTCATTTTGGAACATGAAAAATATGGAATTTCCGATTGAGGAGAATTGTTTTTTCCTTGCGCAATGTTTTAATAATGTGTAAATGCGTCAAAAAATTGAATGAAACTTCATTAATGCATAAAAAATTTTGTATGGAAATGTGATAAAACGGACAATTGACGACATCAACGACATCACCGGTGAGAGCAACGACAACAACATTATAACCGTTTAGAGATCCGAATGTTTGCATCAATAACGACGAATAGAACAAAAAAAAAATATTCTTCACATTTTTCTCAGATATGAAACGAAAAAACCCAGATTTTGAACCTTCAACTTAAACTCACTTCCTGTGATCTGGAGATATTTCTCCAAGACTGATTAATAATAAGGAAATCAGCAGACTTCCGATCGGATCGTTAATTTAAACTCCACTGGCATATTTCGAATGAATCTAATGCAGATTCAGAAGTTTAGATGAATCCTCCCTTGGAACTTTTTTAAAAGAAGAATTGTACGCTTCCAATTATTATTTTCCTCGACTAATTTAAAATTGCACTCCAAAATGAAGTTTCTCGGAACAAAAATCAATGGATACAACACAATTAGTGTGGATACGAAAGATCAGAATTCCAAGTCAAATCGAACAAATGAATGTTTCAGTTGAATTAACAAATGAAAAGTTTCAGATGCTCAATCAAGAGGATTATTTCGTGTCATTCGGATTACCTGCCATGTTCGTTATTTTGTTTGGTTCGGCGACGTGTTTCGCGAATGTTTTTGCCACAATCAACGGGAACACAAGCGAAGCATCCGAAAACACTTTCACTGATTTCGCATCACCCCGAATTTTACCCCAACTAACGGCCTCGTCCGGTCGAGCACCTGAATCGCTACCGTCAAATTCCTGAAACAATTCCACAAAAACCTCCTTGTCAGAAGTGTTCAACAACAAACCAACGTAGTGAATAAATAGGTTCACCTGTCCAGTATTAATATAAACGGTAAAATCTGAGCCATTTCGCATCAGATTCGCATTCATAATGTGATGCTTCATAACACCGCCACCCAGAATGATCACGCCTGAACGGTGTGACTTCACTGACATCGTATTGATATGACGCACATCCTTAACCATTAGCATATGTACATGATTACTCCAGAATCAGTTTGTAGAGCATCGAGAATCACCATCGGAGTTTTGATTTACGAACTCAACACTTAAGAAATATTTTTTAGAAGCAAAGAGATACCTCAACAATATCCACTTTCAGTCCACCTTTCCGTACCGAATGAAAATATAACATATCACCCAGAGAGCCATCTGTCAGCGAAGGGCAAAAGATCGGAATCTTATTACGACTCGCCCAATAGCAGATTGACGATGGATCGTTGATTTGCGCACCTAATTCAGCGATTAACTTAGACGGTGTCCATTCCACCGAATGCTTGTCTTGTTTTTGTTGACACATGTCAAGAATTGGCATCAGCCAATCCTCAAACAAGCAGTAATTATTGTTCGGTATCAAAATATTGCCAGCCCTGAAATGGCAATGCTCACACAACGAACTTGATTCAACGAGAATATTACAAGTACCTATTAATACCGTCACGACGCAGCTGAGCACCATCCAATTCGAATGCACCAATATAGGAAGGTGCAAGGCACTTGATCAAATCCTCCTCCACACCACCCGCACTCGTCACTAAACAATCAACCATTTCATGTTCTACTAGATACCGAATTGTCTGAAAGCAAACAATATGATACGATAATAAATGTCAATAATGCGAACTAATAATGGCAATAATGCGAAGTAATAATGGCAATAATGCGAAGTAATAATGACAATAATGCGAAGTAATAATGACAATAATGGCGAATAAAATAACCTCTCTAAGACCTGAAGTGACTATATTACTCGTATAGCCCAGAAATATCGTACAAGCTGGCTTCTTCTTACCTACTGGATACGGGAAAGTCTCATCGCCCATAAGTTGGCTCTCTCTTGCCTCGATCATTTCATTTATGATCTAAAATAAGACGGAAATCTTAACGAAGAAACATAAATATCGCATCGTTCAACAAATGAGAGATGCGATGGATTCACTGAAAACATCATGATTCGCCTATGAGATATTTTGGATTATGAAAAAATTTTTTGACCAAATAGCGATTTTTGAGCGTAATTATCAAATTTGAGCTTAGTGTCATTGAAAGATTGACTGAATAACGTAAAAATAAACACGGCTGTAAGGAAACAAATGGCACAATCACCTTGATAGCTTTTCCCATAGAATTCGCTTGTAGTCCGGTGGTTAAGTAAGAATCAATCAAGTGATCATAATCGACTCCCTTATTGAAATCATATCCATGAACCTCTAAACACCCTTCGGGTACGGCCGTCGACTTACGCAAAACCGCATCTTCAGCGATATTCAAGTCTGATGTCATCTTTTTGTGATGCAACAAGAAATCGCAAATGGAAAACTGCAAAGTTTCTTCTCGTATAACCGAAATGAAACGATGATCTGACGTTAAAAACTGAACGGACGCAAATCAAATGAGAGGAATATTACTTTGTTCAGACAATATCACTCTACGCCGCCAGCAAAAACGGCTTATGGCCTCTGATAAAGAAAAACAAATATACTTCATAATGAGTAGAAGGCAAGTTTATGAGTTAATTCGCAACAATACATTAATACAATATCAAACAAATACAACCAATACAAATACATAATACGTGACACACCTCCATCGAAATACATACGAATGCATAGTGACAATAAAACAAAAACAAAACATCCAGCGTTCCCTCAGACTGAAGCGCTCACGATGCCAGATAAGCATTAGTTTCTTCGGCAAGTTTCTTCTCATTTTCGACCAAAAACACAATGTCCGAGAGCGTCTGCTCGACGTAGGCCTCTTCGACCCTCTCGCACATTGCCCGAACGCCTCTGGGTGGTGCGAATCGGAATGTTGGTCCGAAATTACACTTGATTGTTGCATTCTGATACAACGATACAGCCGGATAATAGAAGCCAGCGTACAGATCACGGAACGCAACGCCACAATCCTGACCGTTCCGGAAGAATTTTATCTGAATTAGGCAGCAATTATTTGCGTGCATAATCGGTTTGACGTAATGCCACGATGCTGAATGTTTCGATTAAAATTATGCAATGCAACGTTCCGCTTCAAACCTATGTCAGCCTCTGAGCTAGAAGTCAGTCTCGTTTGCAATTTCTGGAATGAGATTCACGTTTAAAACTATACGGAAACATTGAACATTACATGATGATTGAAACACTTTACTATTAAAAGCAGAATAGCAAACATCAAAGCAATGCAAAAACGCACATAACTGCCACTCAATGGGTGAAGATTCTTCACTGCTTCTTGCTGATCCTCTTTTTCCTCATAGAAATAATTATGTTTGAAATTGATCAGCGGCAAATCTTTGTGTGACGGCGGTAGGTATGAGGTTGATGGAGGCACGTTACTGCTGCTAGCAAATTTATAATCACGATCGGCTGGAGTGAGAGGCAAACTGACCAAACACCCCAAAACATCGCCCTCTTTGAAACCTTTCGACGCGTAGTGTTTACCCTGAAACAAGCAAAACTTGGTGAATATTTCTAGAAGACAAACTTTAGTTTTCACCAAATTTGACTGATTTTCTGCAGAATGGAAAATGTGGTCAGCACGCACCTTGGCTTGATGAAACACCGTTCCTTTACGACTCCGCCATCCATACGAAAAACTGTTATAACCGCAACATGCTTGCACAGGTGCTGAAAACATGTTTAATCTTGATAAATTTATCGAGACATAACTGCAATCACTTGAGCAATGCCTACCCAATGCTTGACTCCAACCAATGCGAATGTGTGAATTGGCTGGCTGCGACGTGAACATCACCTCATAATACCAAGTGCCGTGCGCAACTGCGTGTGTTGCACGTGCCACACAATAGCCTTCGAAGCCAGTCAGCGAGAGGCGATCCTCAGACAGTTTCAACTGAACAACCTATTGAGTGAAACCAAAAAACCGCACAACTGGAATCTTTACATATCCACAGTAATTAAAAAAGAATCTCGATTAAATGAGAAAACTTCGCTTCGAAGCTGTATCGTGATAATCCATCAAAATATATTCAAAGGCGGCAGCTTTGCCAAGTTCTGAGGCGTATGCCATGTTCAAGCTCGAAGAATATAACTCAACCTGATAAGCTCTATCATTCGGTGACAGTGTCACCGTCGGATGCACAACAACACGGTAGATATGTGCTGGAATTGGTTTTGCATACCCGCTATCTTCTTGTTCTAGCAACTCCCTAAAATCTTCTCAAAATCAAAAGAACACCAGTAAAAAGAAGCACGAAACATTCATTTAACGTGAAAGTATAATAATTCTTAGTTTAAATTTAGCGTAGGCACAAAAATAATACTGAAGTGAATGTGCGATAACATAAGAGAGTTCTTTTTCAGAAGTGTTACCTATTCGGGACACACAAGTCTTTTTCCACCAAATAGTAGCGATAACCTTCTCGATTGAATGGAAAATCAATAGGCGACGCAATTCCGGCGATACGAGTTGATGAATAGTCTGCAGTGCTGAAGACATTCAATAGAATCTTAGAAATACGGTGATAAATGAGGTCGATAGCTTGGAAATGAAATGAAAACGAACAATTTTGTTTTCTTGAGAGAAGCGTTTCCTCCGTCAACGTTTCGTCTCTTCGAAGAGCCTCTCGTTTTCGGTCCATCACTCGAATCCTCCAACTTATCCAGCAGATCTTTCGAGGAATCGCGTTGCGACGACGACCCGGATGCCTTATTCCGACCAATCTGAAGTGAGAACCTTAGTACTTGAACAGACATCTTAAGAGTAGCAAACCTGTTTTAAAGCTTCATGAACGGGTCCAATGGCGAGCAGATTTCGTTCTTTCAGCGCGAACGCATGACCGTTTTCGGTGGACGTTGCCTCGAACAATTCAGTCTCTTTGCTCAGCGTCTTCAGTAGGGTCTGATGCCAAGTGTTCTTCACTCTGAATTGCTATCATTCGCTGACATTAAGTCCGTTTCAACTCTTCTTGGAGAAAGCACGGAATTTCAAAAGTGATCATGAATTACAGAACAACTGTATTTATCATTCGACTGAAACGATATACACAATTGAAAATACAAGCCTTCTGGTCATTGAAGTAAGATTCTCCCATTGTTCATCAAAATACGGGATAATTTCTTCCTCGAGACTGCAAAAAACCGGCTCGTGAAGTGTGCCCGTGACTGCAGCACCCTCCTGGTCGGCCTTCTTCTTGATCGCCTGATAGGTCAGATTCGCAAGCACTGTCACACACATGTGTGCGAAATCTTAATGAAGTGAACGTGTAACTGAGTGGCCAATACGAAAAGAAGCATTGCATCGCTCACTCGCTTGTTTCGGTGTCCACGTCTCCTTCTTGCTTGGACTGCATTCGGCACAATTGAACACATAGCACACCATAAACGACAGCCCATAGCTGAAAGTTCGTCAATCGATAATAATCACATCAAACAACAACAAATCAACCAACAATTCAGTGAGATCTCTGAGGCATCGTCCATGAAACCACTTTCGGCAGCCGACACAAAACAGTTCCAACGAACCTAATTCACGTCTACCATCACTAAAAATATACATCACTACGAATACACTTCAAATTTAACATCGAATAAATCAACTATTCAACGCAAGTAACCACCAAAATATTTTTAGGATTCGACGAGACGAAATGGTAACAAACAAAACTTTCTTCAAATCTTACCAGTAACAAACAGAAGATGATATTGGTTTGATTTGTTCCTTACGACTTTTTTGACGCATTTTTTGCACTCTCTTCTGGTTATTTCTTTGGTGTGCCTGAAAGATTCACTTTTTGTGATTTATATCAGAGACCATTCACAGAACATGACACTTTCCGAAAGAAGGCATCAAATGGTTTCTTTTCGCGTCGATATTCTTCGAATATCAGCCGAACCAGGGAGATCAGCAATAAGAGATATTCAACGAGAAACTATCAAAAATCGCACAGTCAAACACAAAATTCACAAGAATTTGCGGCAGTAACCGACATCGGGAAGCCGCATTTTCTTCGGAAACTTTCTAAAACGTTGACTAAGTAATATTCAAATGTCTAATTAACGGTATACGCTTCTGGGTGAATGAAATGATGCGTGTTCGCTCAGTCAACCCGTCGACAAATCAAATCGACCTGCAAAAGTCTGCAACTGCACTCTGAACTCGATGCTTTATTAGGATAGTGACTGATCGTGATAATAATAATAATAATTAACGCAACATCAAACAAATACGAACGAACATCTCACAGTGTCAACAGAGTAAAGGACATAACCCTTCCGCGCAATAAGTAAATCAACAAATTAAGTATATAGTAGTACTGACATACAAATTAAGTAGTACTAACATACAAAACTACAACATCTCCTTTACAGCCGAACGGAATCTTCCTGCTTCAGTCCGAATTCAACCAATGAACACCATAAATATTCTTCCATTGATTATCAGTTAAATGGGATCAGCTGAGTCGCCAGAATCTGCAGATTCGGAATGAAACCGTTGGAATATATACTGGCTTCGATAGCTATCTAAACTTAGCGTTAGCATAACCGAAATTATAGTTAATTTGAAGGCAATCATAATAATATAAAGACAAGCAATTAAAACACTACAGTTAGAATAATAAGCACACGAGTACATGGGCAATCAACATAATAATATAAATAAAAGAGACTGTGCACATTGAGCCGAAAGAGTTCTTCGAGTTTGAGATAATACAATAATGTTAACAGTTACATAAATTACCTCGTATTCGCAGAGTTATTCAACGATTCATAAAGGATAAGAACAATCATCAACTATACAAACAACAATTTCACTTCCCTCTCCACAGAATCAAACCAATTGCATAAACATCAATTCTACTCAGTTGCGGAAGATCTGCTTTTGCATTAGCGAGCGGAAATTTAGAAAGTAACACATCGAGATAAAAAATTCAATGGGACGATAATAATAACAATGATTGATACTTCAAAAACAATATAAATACATTGTAGAGCTGAGGCAGTTCACAGAGAACGAGTATTATCAGAAGAGATAACACCAAATAGCTGCGTTTCATTCATGCTATAAACAATAACAATAACATTTACTACGCTTAAGACGAAACACTCAAAAATGAATTACAATATCCTTAGCATAGACCAAAACTGCGTTCACGTCTCACATCAGATTACACGAGGACGGAAGATTAATCCTCCAAGTAGCACGCAAAGATTTTGGTCGAATCCTTCTCTTAGATCAGAGCGAGCAAATAAGCTCCTACTGGCTCGCAGAAAAAATCGCTCTGCAGAAGAGAATTCTTCGTATTTCGTCTTGTTGAAGGTTTGAACAATTATGCGACAAAAACTTTGAAATCAATAATCGAAATGAATGAAAAAATTGAACAAAATTCAGTATAAAATAATGGATGAGATTTCAGTTATAAAGCACAAACATAGCAAAGTACATTACTTATAAAGCTCATCCATCGCCAAATGCTCACAATCCATTGTGGTTGTTATAATTGCCATTCTCGACTCTATCGCCCAATATCTGCACAAAACGTTTCTCCATGAATTCTTCCAACTTATCTGCACACTGAAATTACCACATTCTAAAACTGTACCAAACAGAATCAATATTCACACCGTCACACTCAAAAACAGCGAACAATTCAAAGACTCACACCAACAATCTCCGATCCATCCTGATTATAAATCCGACAATTATCGAACATCAGCTTCGCGTCGGTCACCACCTGTTCAGGTGTGTCGTACAGTTGTTGTTTCAGTTTATTCATCATTGTTCGTAGATCCATTGGGCGTTTTATTATCTAAAACTCATCGTAAAACCTTCTTCTCGAAAGTAAATTCAAACAGCTAATAGAGAGATGAATGAAAAAGCGGTGCGTTAAGTTTAATCGCTTGTTCGATCTAGAGTTGCTTGAAATTCGCCTGCATATCGCTCAACAAGGCTCAGGGAGGATACCTGATAGTAATCGGGCACATCCCTGGCATCTACAGGCGCAGCGAAAGGCCAAGCACTCGGTTGCCTGAGCGTGTCTCTAAGCACACTCTCCATCGAACGCATCATATCACGACGCTCGTGATCAGCACCTCGAAGTCCCATCGTTACCGACCGCGATAACAAATCCTCCCTCGCACCTGAACATTACCCATTCGGCAATTAACAATGCTCATTAATTGCAAAAAGAACGAGTGAATTAAAAACAGCAACTGACTGTAACGTCTCCTCTTGGATCGCGGATGAGTGGCGCTCTCGTTCGACGCAGCACCTTCGCTGTCGTACACATCCAAGTGCACACGACTGTTTCGTTTCGAACTTCGTCCACTCGTCGACATCGAATCCTCACGATACTGCACCTGACAATTGCACCGCTCTTCTTTAAACCACATTCAAATAAAACACTTTTGAAATGTCTCACAAACCTTTCGCACCAATCGACCGCCGATCGTTTTTTGCATCTCGACAGCAGGCGAATCTAATCTGCAATTCGAATAATAATGAAAACATTTTCACCGAAAATATACACTTATTCGCTCACTCTTATCATATTTATTTAACCAATTTTTGAGTACCAATTTGAGTATCTGAATCTGCATTTCAACATTCCCGTGAATTCAAATACAATAAAAGAACTGCAGCAACTGACCTATTCTCGTCAGCCGAGCTCATCTCGTCGTCGAACAACGAGTTCGACCCGCTGCTCTCGCCTCCGTCCGATCCCTCATCCAAGTACTCGTCTTCTTCTGAAGAAAAGATGCGCATTCAATAATGAAACAAACCACCAACAAACCAAACTCACTTTTCATTCGGCCGTTCGCATTCCGATGTCGACGTTCCTCAGCTTCCTTCGCCCTTTGCATAGCAACACAATCGGAGCACATCCACTCCTCGCATACCTTTAATTGTTATATTCATTCCACATCCATCTTCTTACACAACAAAATACCTTATGCAATTTCGGTCGCACGCAGTCGATATGATAACACCGGTCACAGCGAACGCACAGAATCAAATTCTCGGCGATACCTCTCTTTCTGCATATGCGACACTTGGCCTCAATTTGTAGAACACATTATACTTCAACGAATCAAACAAATACAACACGTTCATCGAGACAGATTAATTCATTATTACCTGCAATAAACTTTTACTCCACAGAATGGCCGGCTCCAATGTGGCGTAGAACAAAGCCAGCGCGGAGATGGATTTACATTTCAGCAAGCCAATTTGCCACAATTGAAATGTCGTCGTCGGAATATTGTTGAGGATCGTCTTGTCTTTCGAGTCATTCACCGCGAACGGCATTCGCATGAAACGAAAACTCACACCTTGTGCCACTTGTAGAAATGCGATCGCTATCTGAGTCACTTCCGAGAGGGTCGCCATCGATTCCAGTGGTATCACACACTCGTTGAATACTTTGATATCCTCTGAAAAACAAAACTTTTTTTGAATTCTAATCAGCACACACACACACAAAATCATTCAACATGATCATAAACATTAACTCAGGTTCGGAATTTCATTCATTTATAAATTTCATTTATATGTACACATACTCATCCAATCCTGATCGAATCTCATCCGCTCAAAGTGCGAGTTGAACGACTCCATTCAATGATTCGAAGAGAAATTCTTATTTTCCTTCAAATTGTTTGGTGACTTCACTAAAAAGAAATGAAAATCAAACGCACCTTTAATAAATCCCACAACATTGTGGTTCTCTTTGAGTGAATTACGCCACTTTTCACGACTGATGCCATCGATCGCCAAATGCCCGATACCGCCGTGTTCTATCTGAATTTATCACAACTCTGAACTGCAATAATCACTAACGCTTCACATAACAGAAGCAAGCCTTCATATAATGACAATATAGTAATGCTAAGATTGCACCTTCTCTTCGAAATCGAGTATCATTTCAACTATTTCTTTGCACCAGTCAAAATCATTCGCTGACGTTGATGGATCATCAGTGGTCAACATCAAATCACGCCACAGATCACCCGAACAACTCTGAAAATAAAACCGCTTTGATGTTTGCAGAATTTTCAATCCTCGTCCGACGCATACGAGAGATAAAATCACAGCGAACTCCACGAGAAAACAAACCTTTTTCGCAGAAAGGTCCAACTGAAGACGCAATCGATTTCGGAAATAATTCAAATTCTCCAGTAATTCACCCTCACGATAGCCTCGACTATTACACGCCGATACTAACTGAAATAAAAATTTGTTATCACTCATGACGAAGGCCCATCAGAGCAATCAAACAATCAGAGCAACCTTATCGAGCGATTCATTCGAGTCGACGTATTGCCACCTGGGACGTTGATGAATATTGTGAACCGGACATTGTTCATTTCTTGTACACGCCAGCAGTTTCACTCTCAGTTCGGTTTCACTTTCCGAATCCGTTTTTAGTTGTTCGTTTACCTGAAGAACATTTGTTATGTTCAATACGCGAAAAGCATTACCGGAATACTTATGGACTGCAGAGAATTAATTCCATTGAAATTTGAAAGAAAAAACAGAATAAGATGACCTTATCAAGCGGAGTTGCCTCTTCACACGGTCCTACTTCATCCGAACACGATGCATTCTCGATTAATATCAAAGGCAAATGGTCAACGCACCAATACGTTCGGAACGCTCGATCACGCCCCAAACAATAACCACAATTCACTGAAAGCGCCACTACTACTACTTGGTTCCTGTCAACGAGAGACTAATTCGAACCAGATGAATAAAATTCACTTACAATACAGATCATAAATTTGTGAGATGATTTCGTCTTGCTTCGCCTCAACGAACTGCTTCTGAAGTGTTCGTACCTCATCGATCTCAGCCTCACCCAATTCCGCATACGCAACACCCGTCAACAGAATCTGTAAGAACAGTTCTACTCAATAAAGAACCCACCAGAACGCGAATATAATAACACTTGACATTACAAGAGAATTTCAGCTGGTGAATCATACCTCCTTAACCTGCACACTCTTATCGTCCCGTCTCACGCCGACACCCTCTCGCACCATTCGCAAATAACTACTCAACAGCAGCGATTCCCTGGACGGTTTCGGTCTTTCCGGCAGATCGGCTCGAGCCGCCTCGCCGTTCTCTTCGATCTGCTCGGCTTCGTATTCACGTATCACACGAGCTTCTCGCGCTTCTTTATCCTACACACTTTTAACCGCTATCATTTTCAATACTTTGCTTGCGAACACTTCTGACTAAAGTTATTTCGAAATCCGACTTCTCAAAACAATCGCATCAGAACTGAATTCGCTATGAATCAAAACTGCGAGAACTCACCTGAGCCATGTCCCAAGTTTGCAATTTTCGCAGTTCGCGTTTCATTTCAAACAATAACGCTATTCGATCATCGGTCACTCTACGGAACTTATGATATGTGCTCAGCTGATGGATTAAAACCTTCAGTAAGGCCAATCGCTCCACTGGCTTCAGATCGAATACAGATGCCTTCAAATGAAAACACTTCGTAAAACTTCGAAACACAACAATAATGAAAAAACAACCTTCTCAAGTGTCTTCATAATCTCGGGATTGGAATGCGTGAACACAAAGCCATCATCTTCATAGAAATGCACAGCACCACGACTGAACAATCGGTAACGATGCGTTCCCGAACCGGTGAAATAGCCAGAGGACAGCAACGAGATGCGTAACACCTCTGATATGCTCATCCAGTCTACTGGCAAGTGCCGAGCACTCACACCTGCATAAGTGTCACTTCAGAAAGGCTCTTTCAATAGGGCTATCGCTCTTCGTGAAAGCACTGATATTCGGCTCAGAGTATTGTTGCTGAATGGCAAAAATGCGGTGCTTCATCTCAAAAAGGCTGAGCCGAGATGTTTGCTTAAGGCTACTAAGTCTCAACTCGAAGTGATAGTTGAATAATAATGATGAATCACAATTGTTCACTCTACGTTTCAAGACTCTAACCATGTGTAAGTCGAACGTTCTCATGGAACGACGTTGCTCGTTTGATTCGCTCACCGAACCGTTTATTATCCAAATCTGTGTTTGTGTCCACCGGTAACTCTTCGCGATTGTTCAGATCAACTGAAATCAAGTTGAAATCCAGTTAAAAAATACCACCAAACAAGCACAAATAATAACCTTCATCACCGTCCTCCTCATTACCACATTCCGTTTTCGCCATCAGCAGCACATGCATCAACTCAACGAACACCGCCGACCTAGGATCGTTACTTCTAACCGCTCTGACCACATCCCGGAATGTCACTCGCGGCGTGCTACGAACCTCAAAACAAACAGCAACCGTCATGATCTGATTATTTCTTCACATCAACAGAGCACTTTTTATTACCTCTCTAATGGGAAGTAACTCTGCGAAAGTTTGGAAGAACTCGTAAACGTTCAAATATTCGCCAAAATCCTCCTCACTCATCCAGTCGGGCAGACGGAGAGCATCGAACATGGGCATTTCCTAGAATGAGGTTGGTAAAGCAAATCGGATGGTTCAAAATTCTGCTGCTGCTGCTGAAATACTCACTCATACCCACAAAAGAACAGAACTAACGGAAAGATCGTCACACGCCAGATCATCTCGTGGTTTCTTCCACTCGAGTAATGCCTCTCGTTCGCGTTGCTTCGCTTCTTTGATACGTTCTCGCTCCTACAATTTCAAAGTTCTTTTCGCATCTGTTCAGAACTTTCAAAACAGCATCGCAAACTTCACACGAATGAATCATGCATGATTCCGAGTCGAAAACGAACTATATTTCATAACATATCAATGCTCTATTAAATACACGGGTTTTGATCTTCCAGAATGTAGATAACTGAAAATTTACTTGCAAAAATTATAAATCACGTCAGTTTATGAATGACTTAAACCTAAACTGAGGTCAAACGTATCGGAAGGGATATGACGAGATGGTATATCAGATAACACTTATCGATTGCCGTTCACATAATGACAATAAGAGGAACGAGCAAAGGTTTGCACGTACCTGCTCTCTGAGCACGCGAATGGTTTGCTTCAACTCGGCAACATCATCCACGCTCAGTAATCGCTCGTCTTGCAACCACCTCGAAAGATTCTCCACCTGAAGACGTTTCGCCTGCTGGAACGTCGACTGAAGCTCTTCTTGTTGCTTCGCTATCTGAACAATGAAACCTTTAATTTATCATACACTTATTCTTCGAAACTCGACGATTTTCTCTAAACTCCATCAGAATTTTTGCAAATTAGTCCAGAAATGTTTCTGTCGGTCAGAAAGAAAAAAAATTCATACCTCTTTACGCAGCTTTTCATTTTTCTTCTTTTTTACACTGGTGGTGTTGTTATTGAGTTGTGACTTCGATTTTGTTTCAGATGATTTCAGCGTTTTTGCAGATGTTTTTTGATCAGCAGCCACCTCTCCGTTCGTGAACGGCTTCGTTTTCGTGGAGCCTTTCGGCCGACCTCGAGATCGTTTCAGTGCCGAATCATTCACGCCACTTTCTTCGTTCTTATTATCGCTTGCTGGACTCGAGCGGCTCACTTCACCTTCAATAAAACAAGTCATCAGTCATGAAATGATTGCAACTGCATTATACCATCGTCAGTTTTTCGCGAGGAGCTTTTGTTCTGCACGCGAATCAGCAACGGCGTATGCGGAAAGACGGCCATCGGACCGCCGAACACATCGCTCCAACGCAACGTCTCCAAACCGTACTCATCCACCAAATCTTTCTGCAAAAACAATCAAAATGAAATAAGCTTCACAACGACTAACTGAATGTGAAAGTATCGTTACCTTAACTATAAAACTCTCGCCATAGAGTTGACATGAATTCTTGATGAAAAGTTTCAAACGAGATCGAGATGAAATCGCTTTGGAACGTCTGAAATATGATTGACTGGCTGAATGAAATCAAAAGAATCATTTTATGCAGCAGAACTTACGATAATTCTTTGAAAGTGATATTCTCTCGCACACCTTCGTCCTCCTCCAATCCGTTCTTCTTGATTAGTTGAATGGTATACGTATACTGATCCACTGCTCCGATACGCAGCTCACTTCTCTTCGAACTGATAAACAAACTGATGCTTGCCTTTTCTTTTTTTGTTCTTTTGCAATGAAATTTTTCTCTTACAACTAGAACATTTTTTCAAACATTTTTATGCAGAATCGTTTCTTCCACTCTCGAGGATTCAAGTCATGTAGTTCTCCTCTCCAGAAGAAGTCAGTAACGAGAGAGAAGAAAATAACAAAAATTTTCATCGAAGAAAAAGGCTAAAAATGAAAACTTTGCCAGCGGAAATGAGAAAAAACAAGAAATGTCTCGAGAAAACCTCCGAAAACAGGTTGGAGAAACTGAAACCAACCATGACGCTGAACTTGAAGATGTTTTTTCCATTTTTCCAACACCATTTTCATAGAATGACAACGACGAGGAAGGCTTTTTGGACTCGTCTGATGAAATTTCCGCATCGATATTACTATCAACGCTACTCACGTTGTTCATAATCTCCGTAAAATCGTCCCCTTTATAAGAAACATTCAGAATTCTGCAATTGTTCTTTCGGCCTGTCCCATTTGCCGCAAAAAACAGTTCTTCACCGACGAAATACCGATCCTTCACAAACGTATGAATATCGCCCACTAACTCCTCCAGACGTCCTCTCACGCAAAGTCGATCTATCAGATAAAGAATCGGACGTCCAAAGTGTTCTGGGAACGCTTCCAGAGACTCCTGAAATTTTCAGGAACAATTTACATATGGCATCTAATATTGCACCCACGAATGGTCATAACCCTCAATAGACAGCAATTTCTTTAGCGGGAACTGGTGCTGTTAAACACGAACGATGGTTAGAGGGAACCGTTGAGATGATGCGGTCTGCGATTACGAAGTAAAGAATGTACATTTTTGTGGAACAGATCAGATTTTTGGATAGATAAAGTGGGAAGAAGCTGAATTATGAACTGGGCATGTTTCAAACCTTAGCGTTCTTCTCCGATTCGAGTGCTTCCTCGAAAGTCAAACCACTTTTACCAGTCTGGCTACAGCTCCACAACATTGAATTCAACGTAATCTGACGTTTGAAAAAATCTCTGAAATGAATTTTTTTTTCTCATTTCCCAATGAAAGTATTCCATCTTCTCGTAATGAAATACTCAAAAAATACCAAATAAAGCCTGTGCACATGTCAGAGTGCGAATCACAAAACTCACTCATAATTGAGGAACACCTCATTAGTGGTCGCTAAAAAGAAGACCTCATCGTCTGGCTTCAGGTTCGGTGGCCACGGTTCCGGTTTGAATTCCTTCTTTTTGAGCAAAGGCATTATAACGCAAATTCAAACCAATCTGCAGACTCAGTCGAAAGCTCAAACAAAGGCAAATACAACCACAACATTCATTATTGATAAGATCACAATCATAATAACAATAATAATAATAATAAATAATGAGCACGCACGCGTTGCTAATTTTAAAAAACGCGTCTAAACGACTGCGATAGCGTTGAAGACAAATAGAAACGTTCAATATAATGCATCGAACGCTCTCTAGAACGTAGTCAATGTCTATTACATCATCTTCATGGAACAATAAGCGAAGATCGCTCCAAGCAATCCACCCAACTTCCAACATCCCCTTAATCAACTAAATTCAATATTCCCGAAAAAATTTTCGAACAAAAAATTTCCAACCCGAACAACAATTTCCAACATTCGAGTTAATTTTCATCTTTTTGAACTCAATCGAAAAAGTTTACCCATACGTTGAATTCAGTAAAAAAAACATGCAAATTTCCTCGTCAAAATTAATCCAAATCTAACGGACAGTTTCGCTCTTCTCTCCGTCGCAACTTCTTAACCACTCAAACAAAATTCTATTTTATCGTTTCGTCATTTCTCGCCCTCTTACTTTTCGCCAATTCATTCACTCGTCCGTCTAAATTCACTAAAAAATGGATATAATTTCTCACTCGCTGCTGAGAATGAAACGAACAAAATCGACGAATGAAGTGATGATTCAAACGAAATCAGCCCTACTCCCTCCCTCTTCTGAGTGTCTCAAATATAAAGCAAGTGGCACGTGAGTATACGCAAACAACAAATGAACAACGAAATGCGAATGAGTAATAATCTGGGAAGCGTACGCTTGAAGATAAGTGCATCAAACCTCAATCGCTCCGTCCTCAAACGAATATATACATTCGCATCAACGTTACAAAAGCAATTCAATGTGCAATTATAAGAACAAAAACCGGATAACCGTAAGTCATTCAAATCGCTCAAAATTTACCGCAGTTTTATACAGTAATTGCACGGAAACTATCCGTTGTAGACAAAAGAAAATGAGATGAGCTGACTGATATATCCCAAATGAGACGATACATCCGAACCTGAAATCGGTTACTCCCAACAGAAAACTTCAAATATCCGTTCTGAAATCACACGAACTGTTGATGTCTAATTGAATGGAGCGATTGAGGTTTGTCGCAAAAGCAGCACATTCGATATTTTAATGTCGAATACAGATATATCCGTGATTAGATTCAGTCTGAAATATATATTCGATTCAAGAAATCGACAAACGAATCGCTCAGCACATATAGTAAATTTCGTTCGATTCGCGATCATAAATTCAATTCCTTTGCCTGACCATTCTCATTAAGTTCATTTACGATTAGCAACTAAACCAATATTCTCTGCAACAATTTCGAATGAAGTGAATTTCTATTATTAGTTGAACAACTCCTAAATAAACACAGATATTGTTCAGCGACTGGAGCACACTTCAAACTGACATAATCAAATACGAGCAGTAATAAACTTCAACTGAAAAAAAAGATTATTTATTCCCAAAATTAGAGGGTAAACAATTTCAGAAATAGCAACGTATCAATATCGAATTCAAAATATAACAATGCTAGACGGATGGATGAACCTTCACCCAATAACGCAGGCTTTTGAGACTTTGTCAACGGAACACAAACCTGCACGGGACCAATTTCAATTTGGAACTTTAAGGAGAGTTTACATAAGAAGAAAACTATTGTCTTCGATGATGTAATCACATTCAAAATCTTCAAAAAGAAAGCAGAAATATCGAACGGACTCTGTTTCATTTTAAAAAAATTGTGAGATATTATACTTACGGCTGAGGAATAGTTCTCGGCTGAAATTATTTCCGAATTTAGCTATGAATATTTCAGTTGAAAACATCCAGAAATGTTCAGTGCGCATAGACATACCAACGACAAAGCAATCTAACAAAAGCATCAGCACCTTATCGTCGCCACAACTTCAGCACTTTATCCTTCCCTCCGCTCGCCACCCGCTCCCCGTCCGGACTCCAATCCACCGCAAAAACTTCATCACCATGCCCGGGCAAATCCTCACAGATTCCACGTTTCTGCATATCCCACACCTTCAATATTCAAGCATCAACATAACACTTCTCCCTGAGCAAAAGAGACGTCATACCTTCAAAGTAGAATCTGCAGAACCAGAGACGAGTAGTCTGCTATCAGCAGACCACGCGATCTGGTAGACGGCCTGAACATGACCGCGCAAAGTGTCAATGTAAGCTCCAGTCCGACCACACCACAACTTGATCGATTTATCGAATGAAGCCGATGCTATGTAACGTGCATCCGGTGAAAACATCACCTGAATTTGATGCGTTCAAAATGAAACTTTCCGAAACTACAAGCATCAGACAACTCACTGCATGAAGATTAAAATAATGAAACGAACTAAACCTGATTAACGAGTTGCTGATGTCCCGTCATACGAGCGATCGCTTTCTTGTCACTGTCCGGTTTCCATAAGTACAACGTGAAATCATCAGATCCCGACGCCAGCATCTCGCCTTGTACACCTTTCGCTTCCTCGTAACGTCGCTCAGCTATTCGCTTACACTGCAATCAAAAAAATTCATTCATTTCAAATTATCTGATCCCAGCCCAACACAATAAATGTCAATTCTTGGACAATGCAAATTTGAATCTAAAATTTCAGATGCCTAAAAATAAAACTGAAACGAATGGTTTAGAGATCAATTTGAAAATATTTTGAAACGAATGTTCTTGCATCATAGCACAATGGGGAAGGCAAATGAGTGAAGATTCATTACTCAATCGGAAATATTAGTTGCACGGACGTCCACTCAAATAATCATCAAACAATGAAACGATTCAAATATCCACTAGCATAAAACTAAATAATAATAAGAGTTCTTTGGATGACCCCTCAGAAAGCAACCTCGTCCACACTGTCCGGTGCTTGACATGCATTTTTCGGGTCAAAACAACTCGTCCTGAGCACATACTCGACGTTTAACGTCAGCGTATTCACCCAGTGCGCATGACCTGTTAGCGTTCGACACAGAACACCATCTTCTGCGCGCCACACCTTTATGGTACGATCCTAAAAAAGTGGGCGCATACTTTGTGAATGAGTTCGAATTATTCGATTTCCGTTGCAAATGCGTTCGATGCACAAACTCCGCACGCGATGCAAATCTACATTTCACAATTAGTTGCAATTGGAACTGTCCAAGAGAATGAATAAAAACAAAATGAAACCTGCGATCCCGAATAGATAAGACCCTGACCACCCCATCGGAGACAAGTCACTGATGCGGTATGCCCAGTCAACGTTCTAGTAACTGCGTGATTGACTGTATCCCATATCTTTATGCTGGCATCTTTGCCAGCACTAGCCAGGAACCTAGAAATCATGGAAGATGCAGAAAAAACTGAACAAAGACTCAAAAGACCAATGGGAAAATCTAACCTATAGAATTCATGGAAGGGCATTCTCATTTCATTTCAAAGTTTTCGTAAAATAGAACGACGTTTTGATGATCAACTCGAAACAAATACAAAGAGCAACGAATCCAAGAGATCCTAAGAAATCTGCTGACCTAGACACTGGATCACGATGAAACGGTTGCCATGCAAGTTGCGTTATCCACTGCTTATGACCACTCAACTTCTTACCGATCTGCGCTCCGGTGGCTGCATCCCACAAGCAAATCTGCAGAGCACTAACCATATTAACCGATATTCTCATCAATAAAAACAGCACTTACGTTCCCATTCTTGCACGCAGACGCCAGCATTCTCGCATTCGGTGACCAACTGATGCACAATACCCAGTTGCTATGCGCTTCACATGTTTTCAACGGTAACTCTGTATCAACATCCCACAGCCGTACTGTGCAATCACCCGAACCACTCGCTAAGCCTCTGAAAGAAAAATCTATTTGTGCAAATTTTCGAATGCTCACAAATTTTTCTCATAAATAAAAATTCTCCAATTGCTTCCACCGTGATTCACGAGAGTATAAACTTCTCCATAAACGGACACTCACTATTTTGAGTGTCTCTACTGCATTCCAAGTTAAAATTCTTGAGAGTTTACACATAAAAATTGACAGTGAAACTTGATTCAAAGAAACACTCGCACAGTTCAGTTGATTTCAACTAGATTTCACCTTCCATGTGGACTGAACTGGACGCTTACAACCGGTTCAGCATGGCCTGGCAGAGAGGACGTACATCTGGTTACGGGCTTGACACGGAACACGGCTTCCGGATAATACACTACTTCAATATTCTGAACGATGATTCGGCAGTTTAACGTATTGCATTGGTAAAGTTCTCTCTTTTGACAAAGAACAAATCCCAGAAACGTTACGAATTCATTGTGATCTTATAACTCGTGTCTATATCTCTCAGCTACCGATTCATACCAAATGTCACTTTTGCATTCATCGTCACTAACAACAAATCAAAAACCGTTTCAATTCTAAGATTCGGCTGCATTTCTTCAGCCCTAAACTCAGACTCAAAGGGTTGCTTCCCATTCCATGATGTAATAATCCCTTTCAACACCAATCATTCACGCAGTAACCTTTTCAACGTTCAACTTCTCGGCAGGTATTGATTCGGCAATAGATTTGCTAATTTCGATGCCATCTTTGAGACGGAATGATATCGGTACCGGATCATCCGTGCTATCCAATAGAGTATTGCATAACGCCTATAATCCTGATTTGTTTCAATCGAATCTTCCTTCCCTCACAACAATTCCATCTATCAGAGATATTCCATCCCTAACGCTTTCATTTCATACTTCTGTTTCGAAGTAATATGCGCATAATACGGAACTCAAGAAGATTGATGCACTTTTTTGAAATATTGGAAACATTTTAACATTTCGAACAACGCGTTTTGCTTGCAATTTCACGTCTTTCAAAGAGTAATTTCGCGATCTTCAAATGAATTAATTCCCAATGTCCAAATGATTACTTGCAGTTGTTTATTTGTAGTCGTCAAGCTAACAACGATCGGAGCCTCGCTCAACTCCTTTCCATCCTCGGAAAACAAACGAATTCCAACACGACGTTCATCATCAAGCCCAATATCAACTACTTCCATCACAAAACCTGCTGAAGATGCGACCTCAACGCAAACTTTCAAATGCACACCATATGGCCATTCCGATTATATGCTTATTCACCATATAAACTCTACTACACCACTCTTACCATCCAGCATTCTCACAATCGGGCAATTCAACCTTTGCGAGAACCTATTCTCTGAGACTAGAAGAATCCTACTTGAAACTTTCGGTAATTACCGTCAGCGAGGAGAATATATTCGAGTCTCTGCGCAACCAAACCAAAAAATAAGCATCGAAGAACGTTGCGTCAAATTTGATTCCAAAGAAAATGCGATCGAGATTTTGGATTCACTTGGGGAAATAATAGGCAGGAGGTATAAGTTTATAGTTTGAACAGAAAACAACAAATGAATGTGCTAGTAAGAATAATTTGATAATGCAAATTTATCATCTCATCATATTATAACAATTTCAGTGAAATAAAATTAAATTATTATCATACAATGCAATGTAATATAACAATACTAGAAAAATGAAGCAACGCCCATATCAAATAATCATTTCACACTTCAGATGCTTGCACCTATTTCAGGATCGAACCCAACTTCAGTCGAGGTTCCAATCAACAAATCAAAAATCAAAGCAATCACAAACAATTCAACCCCTCCCCTTTACTAAAATTCGCCCCTATTCTTGAATACAAACATCCAAACAATGTATAAAACCATCAAACAACAGCGATTCATTAACAATGATCAAATCCAAATTTTCATTCCTCCATATCGTCCTCTTCCAACTTAGCTTTCGCCCAATTTTCGGCTTCTTTAACAATCTGAAAATGACCATCTCAGAGTCAGTCTGAATCACACATCCAAATCCATCTACTCACTCACCTCTTGAGGTACAGTGTGATGCTTGCCATTGGTACTCTCGCCAACCCAACCCATTTCAATTTGCAGATTCTTATCTTTCGCTTCATCTCGTACCGTCATGATTATTCTGGCCGCTTCTGAATAAAACAATAATTATCAATTGCAAAAGACCTAAGAAATTTTTGCCTTGCGGAAAGATTTTAAGTTCAATCACCATTTTATGCTATTCATCACAATGGATCTTCTTCATCAGTGAGCTTCCTGGCATACAAGTATTTCCCAAATATAATATAAAATGTTCAATAAACAATCACAAAACTATACCCTTAACGAGCTGTTCCATCGACAAATCTTCGAGTTTCAATTTCTCAATTTCAGTTTTTGCCGCCTGACGATGCTTTCCAATTGCCCATGCTTTGTACTCATAACAGAGACCGGATGGCTCAATCAAGAACAATTGAGATCCACGCTGAAATAAACAGCACCGCTCGATTAATTCATTCAAAAAGAATCGTGGAGCAATCGACTGATTCGTTGAGGCGATAAACTTCCTTAAAACGAACTCACGAACATACACAACCAACCTTCTTATCCCATGCAGTTAAGAACACCGAAGCACCGAAAGGCCTGCTGATACCCAGTGTGAAAATGTGCACATATTCGGCCAACTGAAAAACCACGATGACATCAACATCTTTTATACCTCAATTAAATCCTATAATTGGACAGAAAATAAACCAAACTTGAATGGAACGAACCGCGTAATCAAAAAAAAAACACTCGACCTGTTCAGCCAATTTCTTGATGGGCATTGGTGTACGATAATCCCTCAGATATTCCAGAGCCTCTCCAACCGCATAATCCAGTAACGCCCTACAATCCGGATACACTCCAGCCAGCGCAATACCAACGTTTTCACCTGCGTTAGCCATACGCGGATTTGCATTCTGAAATATTTCTCCTCCTTAACTGAAGCTTTTCTGTGACTGTCAAACGAACTAAAGAAAAACCATGAGCAAATTATTAACCGGAACATATAACTTCGACGGAATCAGTTTATCGACAGCTGTGACCACGCCATCTTTTCCTTTCAACGCGATCATCGTTCCACCATTATCAACTGCTTTTTGTGCATATTCCACTGAAACACACACACTTGTTGTTTTTTTAAATAGTGAGTTCATGGCGTAAAATCATGCCACCTGCACAGTTCAAAATCAAACTTGATCTTCATTAGAGTTCTACCTAACAGTCATCCTTTCTCAATATTTTTCTTTCACGCTGCAAAAACCACGAATGGTTTGAAATCAACTTTGTCAGACTCAGTCAGCTCTAAATACAAATCTGTCAGTAATCCTTCCACGATCAATCCCGTCAAAATCACGCCATGGCCAAGAACAGCTCTCCGATACAAATGGAAAAAAATTGGTAACAAATTGTAGACGAGAAAAAAAAACTCCTACCTTGAAAAATACGACCATCAGGTGAAAAAGTGGCTGCCGCGAGATCATAGCCAGTACCTATAGAGCTCATTGTTTGTGTCTTACCTCAGTGATGGATCTGGAATTCAGAACAGTTGCGAACTGCGCGGAATATAAACGTTTTCTGATGTGAATCATTCGCGTGGAAAAAAATGGAACGAAAATGGAATCATTTTGGAGGACATATGTGGAAAAATCAAGCCAAAGTTTTTTTTCTACTTGCAAGTTTTTTCTCACCACTTTTTTGGTAGAAAAGAAGAAGCAAAGCAACCGAACACCCCCAACAATTTGAATTGTCATCAAAATCTGATGGCAAGGAGGAAAAAATTAAAACTTGCGATATTTTTAGAGCACTTGCCAAATTCCAATCCGGAAGGATTGCCAACATATAGACCATTTCCGCGATACTGAAGGAGCAGATTACGGTAGATGCGCAAGCAAAACAATAGTACAAACAGGGAAGTAAGTACCACAAGAGCTGGTGCTGGACAATAACCTGAAACTCGCAGCACTCACAGATGTATCTGTGTTATGTAATACGGTGGAAACAAGAGGAGTGCCAAATTTTCAGAATGATATCGTTCAGAAGTTTGCACGAGAGTGAAACCAATTCCACAAATCGCCGCATCACAAATTTATACAAATGAACGCCTCTGCGCCAATTGATATAGTTTCAGGAAAATTGCTATATCTCCTTAACAAAGCACAACTGCCCAGCAAAATTTATAATATTCTGTATCTAGAGATTCTGCTGGATCGAACAGTGCAAACCTGAGAAGAAGGTTAGCTTGAAGATCGCAATCCGCCTATTGCTAATATGAACGTATTGATTGCTCTACAGTGATCAGTTTATATGAATGAGCGCGACTGCGCTATTGTTCTGAAAGCTGAGAATCTCTGCTATCCGTCTGAGTCAAAAATACTTATCCTTACTGGTCCAGTCTGAGCATACAGGAGGCCTGAATGTGGTACCTCGTCTGTAGATTCCCCTAACAAGGAAGCACCTTCATAAAATCAGCTATAGCTACACTTTCCTTCTTGTTCGTGACCTCTTCTATCAAAGTATCATAAAGGTGCACTCAGGAAAATTTGAACTTGTTGATGAGTTGAACAGAGTATATTTTGTTTGCTGATCACATGTGGCAAAACGTATAGACGCTGGCCGGAATTGAACATGCGGCCCTCAGTGTGTTAAGAGTACTGCAATGCTTGATCTGGAGACATTTTTCTCGCCTCAGGTCTCTCGGAATGCCATATTCTTGTTATTTCCGTGATTCTATAGTCAAACCGAGTCGGTTGGTACCAAAATTGTCTGAAAAGGAGCAAAATAATTTTCCGCGAAAAAACCCTTATCATACCCCTCACGATCTCAAAATCGGGATCTTCGAGATATCATATCTCAGCTCCTGATTGACATTTCGAGACGATCTAAACGGCTTTGAGATAACCTTCACCATATGAGTAGAAAACGTTGCACGAATTATTCCGATCGGCCAACGAAAACCCGCCTATCGAGACCCCAAAAACCGCAAAAACCGTCATTTCAGGATTTTCGGCCGATGGAGTCATTTTTTGCTAATTTCACAAACTTCACACCAATCGAACCGGAATGAGGCCCTCAATATGATAAAACACGAATCAGCTCTTTATCTGGAGTCATTCTTGGCTTATGACCTCAAAATCCCGTTCCACTCGGTTTTGAAGCATAATCGCAGATCGCAATCCGCCTACTGCTAATATGAACGTATTGCTTGCTCTATATTGATCAATTTTTATGAATGAGCGCAAGCCACTGCGCTACATAATTGAGATGGATCTAAGAAAACGGCTATACATACTCAGGAAAGCAAAATCTTTTCTGCATAAGGAATTCAAGCTGGATCGGCTGATGCAAAAAAATTCATATGTTACTAGGCAAACATGAGTTTAAGGTGGCACCCGAGATATTATTAATAAAATGCCTATATCTCCTCAACAAGGCCAAATTGCTCAGTAAAATTTTTAATATTCTGAATCTAGAGGTTCTGCTGGATCGAACGGTGAAAAGAAATTCGCATGTTTCCGGGCAAACCTGAGAAGACGGTTAGCTCGAAGATCGCAATCCGCCTATTGCTAATATGAACGTATTGATTGCTCTATAGTGATCAATTTGTATGAATGAGCGCGACTGCGCTATCGAATTGAGATAGATCTAAAAAATATGTGGTTACGGCTATGGCTGCTCAGGATAACAAAATCGCTCGACAAAATATATATTTTTGTATCCAGAAAATGACTATGTCTGCTCAGGATAACAAAATCGCTCGACAAAATATATATTTTTCTGAGTGAGGAGATCCAGTTGGATCGACTGATGCAAAAAAATTCATATGTTAGTGGGCAAACTTGAGCTTACGGTAGCCTTGAATGTGCTTATCCTTACAGCATCAGTAAAATAGCTATATCTCATCGTAGAGGCGACGTTATCATTTGCAGAAATCAGAGATTCTGCTCGATCGAATGATGTATAAACATCAATATGTTACTGGTCAAAGCTGAGAGTACGGTAGGCTTAAATATGCTAACGTCTATAGAGCTCTAGTAATGCGTTCATATTGGTCTATAGTTATAGAATGTATACAATTGATCGCCTCTACACTAATTCGTATAGTTTCGGGAAAATTGCTGCGTCTCCTCAACTAAGCAGAATTACTCGACTAAATATGTTTTTTCTGAATCTAGAGACTCAGCTGGATCGAATGGTGCACACAAAATCATATGTCACTAGGCAAACTTGAGCATACGGTAGCCTCGAAGATGCCAAACGCTATAGCCTTGAGGAAATAGCTATATCTCCTCATCTAATCGTAATATTACGGCAAAGTATATGTTTCTCGGTATGTAGAGGTTCCGCTCGATCGAGATGTATACACAAAATCATATGTCACCCGGGAAAGCTGAAAGTACGGTTTGCTTGAAGATGCTAACCTCTATAGAGCTATGGCATCTTTTGATCTATAGTGATAGAATGTGTATGAATTGGCGCCTCTGTGCTACTTGAGATAGCTTTGAAAAATACCCGATTCTCCTGATGGGTGGAGAACTGTCGAGACTGTATGCTAGTAATCACATATATAATGTACTGAAATTAATGGCAATGCAACAATTCCCACAACTTTATGCAATGTCGCTCGGCTGCTAAATGTTTTTCCGAACCAGTAAGATCTGGGGAATGCGATTATGTGTTTGTGGACAAACCTCAGGATTTTATTGCTTAGAAAATGTTGCTTCTGATTTTACAATCGTAGTGTATCAAATGATCATTAAGGATACGATGACACAATGTCATCCAGCCTAAAGATACATTTTCAGTAATTTCATTGCTTCATATTCAGCAGATCTATGTGCTGTCGATGGGTATCACCGTGGTTGTGCCACAGCTATGTCCCTAATTAGTTATTATATCTATAAATTTTCTTTCGTGCGTGAATGACAAAGAGTGATAACGCGAGGAATGTGTTCACCCTATTTTATCCATCCAATAAATTATAACAACAAATTCACGACTCCAATAAGACAAGCGAAAACAAATTCGATTAGCCATTCAATGGATCAAAACCAAAGACAATCCAAAAAGAGTTCTTTCCAATTCATATCACAACGTATTAAAAAATAAGATTATTTAAACACATTCAACGATGAATTGCACGATGATGCGCAAACGATAGCTTTATAACAAAACTTTTAGAAGAAGGCACAAATTAAGCTGTTTGACAAGAATGATAGTCACAATGTAAATTAACCAACACAACTGATGTATCACAACCAAGACCATCCTCTTCAGAACCTCAGGTGCACACTTACAATATGTTAAACAAAAACAAATAAATAAAGAAGTCCCTTAACATAATCCACAATCTCCTGACCACCCAGCTTCGATTCACCGTAGAAACGATCCACGAACGATATTGGTACTTCACCGATTTTATAGCCTAGTTTTCTGGCTCGAAACATCATTTCCATCTGAAGAAAAAAGGAAAGCAATTGAAACTATTTGAAAGTGCTGTTCCTCGCTCGAGAACTTTTAAAAAATGTCCGCCTGAAAATTAAAAAAAGGAAAGATGCTCGAAAGTAACCTGAAAAACGTATCCTTTCGAGATGCTGTCCGCGATCAATTTTGCCAAAACTTCTTTGCGATACAGACGAAATGAACCAGTTAAATCGGATACACCCGGGTTCAGTAAGAACTACAACAAAAATTACCCGCAGCAATCAAACCGATAATGAGACTGCATTACTCAGTAAGAGTTCCAAAAAAACTAAAACAACCTACACAGTGCGCACGCTATATTTCAAGCCTAACATAAAGCCTAGTTCACGACCGGATCAGGTTTCAATACTCAACTTGCATACGAATAAGACAATATCACTCTTTTAATGAAATAAAGAACCTGCGCTAAGAAGTTCGCGCCTCGACTAATAGTCTTTCTCTTCAAATCCCATCCAGCCACACCACCACCCAACGCATATCTCGTACCAGTTACAATATCGTACTGAAACGCAGTTGAATATTACACAAGGTATACTCATGTAATAAATAACAGAAGACAGACATTTTTGCTGCGTTGAAGATCGATCATCTGGCGTATAAATTTTGGATGATGCGATAAGTCGGCATCCATCAGTATAATGAAATCACCTCGAGCCGATTTCAAACCATGCGTATAGGCGGTTCCTAATCCTGAATTCAAAGAACTGAATGAAAACTGAAATTTTCAAAATCAAGAAATGCACCGAGTGCTGATGAGAGATTGTGCGCAAAATCCTGACAGAAAACTGTACCGAGTTTGCCTGCTCTTGGCCTCAAAATGATTTTATTTTCGCCGAATTCTTTCTGCAGTTTTCTCGCTATTTCTTGGGTACCATCTGGTGAATTATCATCGACTATGATCACCTGCAACAAAAACACCAAATTTTTTCACCTTTCCAGAATAATTCCACATTCCCTATTTCCAATTGTTACAAAATTCGTGAAATGTTTGGAAACAATAAAATTCCCAACAAAAATTTCAACTATACAAATGCTGAGATATGTATAACCTCATAAGTGAACGAAGTGTTACGAAAATATTTCTCGATTAGGAAAACACAAATCGGAAGGTTTTCCCTTTCGTTATACGTTGGCAACAAGATGGAATAGGTTGGTTTCAGCGCATCACCGGTGTGCATCATTAAGAGTGCAATCAAATAGAATATCAATAGTAATAATAGTTCACCAGTTATAAATACGAACCAACTGGTGTATTTATTTTATTACCTTAAAATGGAATTTCATTAGAGTGGACGCAGTTATTCTCTTGCACATATTGCAAGATCGAAGTTTTTCTCTCAACTTGCAGACATTTGAAAGGATGGTGACGAAGAGGGATTGTTCTCGTTCCGAGTACAAGTTTAAGATCTGACAGGAAATGCACAACTACTCAGTGCTTTGAACAGAGAATTTGCGTAATTCATGTAGAAATCCCCGAGGACTGATTCCTTGGAGGGCATAAAAGATACCTTGAATTCGCTCATTAGATCCAGTCTGAATCGTATACTTAGGCAATAGCAACGATGACACAAGATTGGATTAACCCGACCAAGTAATAAAAAAGCGAACAGATATGAAATGTGAACAGAACAAGTGAAAAGCAATTAAAGAGTCTTTTTCTGCGTAATATTGTTGGGTCGTTAAAACTGATGATTTTATTGAACTAATATAAAAATAGGAAACCGACAATGATTGTGAGTAATAAAAGCAATAAGTGATAATAATAATAACAGTTACATTAACGGTAACGATACCAGTATGGATAATTGCGATCACAAATACAGGGTAATCAATAAAATCCAAACTTAAAAATGATTCATTATCAGTAGGACACGATTTGATATGAATATAAAGTGACAATCTTAAATATGAGGACAACAGTACCGATAACAGAGTTTTCTTAAGATAGTAACACGATGAAAGTAAAATCTCAGCGCGATATAAACATATCAATAATAACGTTATCTGATATGCAGTGATTGATGATTTCATCAATAAAAGGGCTCACCACTGAACGCTACACAATGCCAATTGCTGATGCAGTTTTGCAAGCCAAATTCGGAGAATGATCCAGCCCTCTCTTGCTTTCCTCCACTTTTATGGCTCAAACGTTCAACTTGTTTGTTAGTGACCTACCCCATGAAGAATATTCGCCAGTTGTAATAAAAAAGTCAAACGAATTTTGATAAAATTATCAGAAATTTCGCATAGAAAAAGCTACGAAACAACCGAAATCGATTGCATATGCAAAAATGATCTATGACCGTTATAAATAGATGAACGGGCCATAATAACTATCACAGCGATGCTGCTGAGAACATCAATATGATGATACTGACACGAATAATACCAGTCATATCATAACCAATAATGCAATTAAATCAAACTCGATGATGACGACCGTTGAAATTTTATGGGTCATCAAATGATGCAAAAAATTATGCTGATGATTCTACCTGAATTCGATTCATTCTAAGCAAATATTACGGCGATTCGAACCCCTTCCAAAAAAAGAACATCAAAGGAATATGACGGAAATTTTTAAAAAAATCAAAATAATATCGCTCATCAAAGATGAAACACTGACAGATTTGAGGTTTAGAACAATCTGAAATTGAAACTTGAAAAAGAAAAATGTGAATTTGAAACTCACACAAAAAATGATATATTTCAACGATGAACAAGCACAGCTGTAAAACAAAAAATACACAATGACTCTTACAATGCCACATTCCAGAAAGCAAACAAGAGGATGAATAAAAGGTGACGACGATATCAAACTAAAACAATATCGCCTCACTCAAAGACTTGATAAGCCAATCCACTGATACGTTGCCGTTTCCATACGAAGAACATACCTCCAACACCGACCGCCGCTCCAAGCAACAACATGAACACTCCCAGCACAAACATCGACCCACCTGTATAGCCATTGAAGGACGGCGACGGGGGATCGGGCGATGGCAGCCACTGCGACGGAATCAATCCAAGGCTGCTACGAGCCAACTTCAACTCCTCAAATAATTTGTCGTTGTCACTCATCACTGTTATCACATTAAACTGACCGTCTTCTTCTGATCCTTTGCAAACACACTGAACGCAACATCGCGATCCATCAGAGTTGAATTCAGCCAATTTATTGCTTCAGCCAGGCTTGATTCGTTCTGCAAGTTACCGTTTTAAGAAACGATATCTTATTTACCCTCCACTCACCATTCTGTCCTTTGTGTTGGCCGGAGCCACTCCAGATGTCTCGCCTATCGCAAAGAATACAACGACGCTCTCTTGAATCTGTTTGTACTGAAACATCATTCTGAGCATTAGAACAGAACCAAAAAATATTCACAAGCAAAAATCAAAAACCAACAAAGAAATTTGCGACTCTCAGCACAGAAACCCGTGCCGTGTGCGCGATAGTCTCTTTCAGTGAGCTTTCCACCCTCGGAATGCCCAGTTGTTCCATATCACTCATCGAACCTAAATAAATGTTCCTTGACAGCACTGAAAAAATAATCAAATGAATCTACAAATAAAAGTCACTTACAATTCTTGATATTCACATGCAAATAACTATCCTCAACCAACTTCAAACACTGATGTGTCCAAAACGCATTCCATCTACTCACTTGTCCGCTTGAATTAACGAATGAGTGAAGACGAATCACACTTCTACCGATTTCATGATCGGACTTATTCTGAAAACAAAAATCGTACTCATGCTCAACAATATACGCAAACGAAAAATACCTTATGATACTGGATAATTGAATGAAGAAACGGTGCTTCAGCTGAATCGAATACCCAAGGTTCAGTACTGAACAATAATTCCACAACCGTATAAGTGCCTTGACTCGATGAGTTTGAACGTGACACGTACAGTGCCATCTCGGCATTTTCATCTGACAACCGCTGTAATTAACTGATCCATCAATACGAACAAACAACATCCTTGAAATTCACCAACTAAACAAGTGTTCTGAATAATTACTCCCCCAAAAAGCCATTTTATCATCAAATGGTTACATCCGACGTTCCCTCACCTTTCCACCATAATAGAATTCCGACGCTGAAATATTCATCAGAATTTGATTTGCAGACTTCAGATCGATTTCCTGCGTCGTATCATTCACCATATAAATATCACCGAAACCGCTCTCAATTGCTTTCACTTCCTTACATGCACTCGTTTCACTATCAATTATATACTGCAAACCTGAAACCAGATGATATGCTACCTGAATAACTCACACGCTAATACGATAACAAACTCTCGCTGCGAATTCACAAAACAATTTTATTGATACTTAAAAGGTGGCCGGATGGTAGCGCTGAGAAGTGACCAAAGAAAGACGAATAAGCAAAAGCAAAAATAGATGAAGTTAAGAACCGTATTTAAAATCATGGATCACGGTCACCAAAGCGAAATCTTTCGGCAGAGATATGTTCCCGATGAAAGGAGCATCACGATCCGTGCGAACGTTCATACGGAACGATATGATTCGCTCGGAGCCATCATACAACATCTGAATATCATTTTTCGTATCTCAAGAAGAATAAAGAAGAAGCAAATATCCTCACATCGACATCGTTCACCATCTTCCCATACACGTCCGTATAATCGAAAGATGCCTCGAATTTATTCGGTAGCGATGCACCAATCTGGCTCGGCTGCATACCGTTGCAGTACATTCCTTTTGGTAACTGTAAAAAAGCAGTTTATAAATAAAGTTGTCCACATATAAGATCCCAAACAAAAATGATTCAAACTCCAACAGATCACCTCCATATAATCACTGCTAACATCAGATTTTGGAACATCAATTTCGACGATATCCAAGGAAACATGATCGGTAATGTTCTGATTCGAAACTGAAATTAATAGTGACATCAGTCAACGATGCCACTCTGCTTTGTTCACAATCGATTCACTAACAATCAGCTCTGATGATTTGTAGTGAACACTGATATGACAATAACAAAACTGCTAGAAGTGAGAATGAATAATGTAACATTCAGTTCCATTTCATCTCTCAAACGTTACAAATTTCAAGAAGAACAACTCCGATGAACGAACCATTGTAAACGTAAAAATGAACAGATAAGGTGAGTGGATTGCGAATACTTGATGAATAAGGTAATGTGGAATTATCAGCAGCAAATGCCACCTCAACCTAAATACGTCAAATCAAATCAAAACTCAAATAACACATAAAAAGTGACCATTCAAAACTCGATTATATTTGAATTCATAAAGACAAAAAAAGGAAACACACTTAAAAGGTTCACCACATCATAAAACAATAAGTTCAGCACCTGTATGGCCGTATCAATTTGAGTTGTTAAATTCTTGCAGCCAATCCATTGAATACCTTCGATACCATTAACTATTGTCAAGTTTTTCGCAAAAAATTTCTTCGAGAAATTCGTTGATAACAATGATTCAATGAGAGAATTTAGTGATAAACCATCGAAGTTGAGTTCTTTCTTCGTGGTTGCCGGTAACAAATATACATCATTTAATTTAGACTTATCGCCAACAACACTGCATGAAGAATCTGAAATTCCGAGCAAGCAACTAGATTTGAACCTAACAAATCAATCATGGCTGAACAAATTAGCTCAGTAGTAAACGATTCAAGACGAGAACAGTCGCATATCACTTCAAAATAGTATCCGTTTTGCACGATACATCTAGGTTCTGCCTGCAACAATCCTCCTTTTTCCCGTTCACCGATAACTAACCATTGTATGAAATACTCGTATTAGCAACAACATAATTGCTCGTTGACTCTCTCGATATATACTCTAATCTCAGCGACGACGAAAACTTTTGTTCGTTTATAAGAGCACTTGTTTTGTTGAAGTACGAATAACGTACAGACGCCTTAAAATCAATTTTCCATTATAATAATAGCAATGACACGATACGGCTGGTAATAAGTAACAATAAAATTGGCAATACCAAAATTCGCAACTGCAAACGCCAATAAAAATAAATAATTTCAGAGGAAAATTCAAAATAAAACTGAAATTTGAGACGAAAGAGGACAAACCGTGTAAAGTGAAGGAAGTTTAATGCCCGCGGGCAGGTTACTCGTAACTTGGGATTCTGAGGATGCGCATTGCAGATCTGTAGTAGATGTGCAGTGGAATGACCAAAACAACAATGTGAAAGAAATCCAAAATGGAGAAATCATTTGCGAGTTGTTGGGCAGATTTTCTTCCGATTCTAATGCTGAAATATGTCGAAACTCAGACTCAAGGTCACGGGTAAGATAAGATGAATAAGTGTACGGAAAGCGACTATATCTCGAGAGCTGATGCTTGACAACACATGAGAACTATTTCAAGTGCTTACGGAGCTAATTTCCGTCGACCCATTTCAAAGAAACGAGTATTCTAAAGAACTGGCCTTAAGGTATTTATAGTACCACTCTTGTCTTGGAAACCACCTTCCGTATGTTCAGTAGTAAGCTGACAGTTCGCCAAATATGAACGGAATGACAGTTCGCCAAGAGACGGGTAAGGTGTACGGTATCTTCTAAGGTGTACGGTATCTTCCAATCATCGGTCCTCTACAGTAAGGATACTGGAAAAGATAGAAGGTTCGAAACAAGAGAAGCATTTAGATTGAACTTAACCTTTATAGACGAGCCCTGTATGAAGCCTTCGTGCTGATCTGCTGGCAATACCCTTACCGTTCGGTAAATGGTCACCCTTTTCAACTGTTGATTTCACTTTTCCTGACCGATGTACATCCACTAACGATGTACATTCATTTTACCTTCATATAGCAAACAACAATCGATCTCGCAATATTAGAACCTAATTCAACCAACATTGCCTGACGGTTACCACGGAGACCAAACAAGATGAATTGAGTCTGTCCATTGCTCAGTGGTATCCGTGAAAAGAGATTGATGAACGAGAGATTGTGTTTATTCATCTACGATGCGCTGTATCAAAAGGATATTGCATAGTCGCAGATATATCCCTTAAGATTGATCTCGTTTTCGAGTTCTTACATTTTTTTCAGTAATGTTATTTCGACAGCCAGTAATTGATTTTATTGCTTTTTTTTCTAATCTGGGAAACTGGATGTCATTTTGAGTGTTGTATCTTCAAACTCAAGTCGCCACTGCTGCGTGAAGCTAATACTAAGCGAGTATGAGATACTATCATCGAACAAAACTAGAGTGTCGTATAGAATTCATACTCAAGCGTTTGAATTCACTCAGCATCTGGACTGTGTACAAAACAAATACAAAATGAGTGTTTATATTGCGAGCAGCACCTAGGTGTTATGATAATAAAAATAGTAGTTAGTTTTAAAATGAATCGAATCGTTTGCTGAGCGTTATGACAACGTTAATCTTCTGCGATTGATTATTCATTCGCTCTTTTATCGACCAAATTTTAATTCGTCAGTCAGACAGACTCTATTTCAAATACAATACTTGTTGTCGCGTTGATTCGGCAGACTCGTTCTTGATAGATATTCCTAGTTGTTATGCAAATACTTATTAACATTTGTCAGATATGATTTTAAGTTCTGTGAGTTCACATATGCTTCGGTTTTGTATTGATTAGTACTTGTTCATGTTATTAGCAAATCCACATTAAATGCTTCTTAGGTTCAAATAAAGCGGAGAATATCCCTTCTTTGCGGATTAATACTTATTGAATAAATTTGGATTAATTCTCTTTGAACATAGATGTTTCAGTTCCTTGTTGAAACTGTATTGATTATTATTACTTTTTTATCGCACTTTGATCATTATGATGTGGACGTTGCTGCTTAAGGTCCTTTCAATTGATAAGCATTGCAGTTAGCATCTTTATACAGGCATCAAAATTCAAACTTATCATTTTGAAAATAAAATATTGAGTGTCATTATTTCAATGAACGGAAATTTATATGCAGCCCTTGACAAAAGTCAACAGAACACGTTGTCACTGCATATGATTCATACTCATGCGATCGTTCATTGTATGTACGTTTAGAAAACTTTTATGCGATCAAACCCTTCGAATCTTTTTTCAACACGCCATTGATTTTCATTTTTTAGTGGCCGTTTCAAGCACTTTGTGACTTAAAACGGCCACAAAACAATGAAAATCAAAGGTCAAGCAAAACTTATCGCGCTAAACTTTAAAATTCCTACAGACCAATTCGATTCCACTCTTATGATTCGTCATCAGTTTGAATTCAGCGAACAGCAACTTCCATATTAATTTTCAGTTCGTCTGTCAATAGAGCCATCGTTCATTTGATCAATAATAACGTTTTTATCTGAAATATCGCGTTCATCTGTGGCACAGATTTCGCCTTCTTACGGAACACATTTACTTATTGTTAAACAAAGAATACGTTTTCTTTTCAAGGGAACAGGTTTGAATTCATGCATCATATCGACTTGAATTTTTTTTTAAAGAATGAATCTTTCCGAATTTCCCATCAAATAAACTCGAAGCATCATGCTATCTGAATGAACAACTTCCCTATCAATGCACTCACTTTCCAGTCAGAAATGCACTTCCTCTTTCGTAGGCAACTTCCCTTCTGTGCTCAGCGTGGTTAGTAATCAAGCCATAGAATATAATTGGTCATCCGAATGTACTCTAATGATAAATAGCGCCCTATCTTCAAACTAAATATCATGTTCGCTCCCGTAAAAATCTTCCGCATCTAACATTGTTTCGATGTGATAATTCAATACCCTCAGTGAATGATATCAAGCACTTAATCAAGCATCTACGCTGAGCAAACACCTTCCTTTTCTCCGTGCCACTGGCTTTTGGCTTTACATTGCTTGAGTACAACTGTATTGCCTGCTAGCAATTTAATAGCTCGATGCACCCTCGTCATTTATCAATAACTCAATGAATGCTACTTAAGACCTATGATCGAAGATTCGCAACCATCTCAGATGGTTTTCTCAAATGCAATCCGTTCTTCGCTCACACCCATCTCAAGACTATTCTATTCCCATGAATTTCATTCCAGATTTTCTCACTCATCAAATGTCGAATGGCTTTAAGCGCCCAAGATCCACTAGCAAGTGGCAACAACGATGTGATCCGAATACGCGATCGAATTCAGAACAGTCCTGAAATTGCGTCCTCTAGAGCTCCTTCAATTCTAATCAACCATTACTATTTAATCGCCTATACAATTGTTATTGGAGCTGTAAGTGTGAGAATATTTCTAGATTGATTTATTCCGCATTTGAACTCATCAATTTATGCCCCTTCATATCGCAGAAAGGAATTCCAAGACCTCATCCTCCATTTCGGGAGAAAGTGGCAGTCAGTTCTAAGCGTTTAGTGCTGAGTGGACGAGAAGGGTGTTGTAAAAAGATATTTAAAGCAATAAACTGAGATGTTTGCAGTACGTGTTTGCATTTGGTGAATATTTGTATTTTCGATTGACGTCGATAATATTCCCCGAGAAAGTGATCTATCATTCGCTGTGTGATAAGAAGCATTCGGAAGTTGTCGGTAAAGATGCTTTACATTACGCCATCATTATTGTTGCGTTCTGCTCGGTGGCATTCTTTCAAATTATCGTTAGTTTCTTCTACTTATCCTTTCACCACAGCTGGAATAAGATTGTATCATTGATTAACTCACCAACTTTTGAAGTGTGGCTATAATTTATTTCATCATTTTCAGTGTTTTTTTGGTTTAACGATCTCAGAGAAATGGACCATTTGCACGTTACCTGATATTGATAATATAGCTCATTTAAGACACAAACTCGCAAAACATATCAAGAACACAATGAATAATACTGTCTATCCCACGTTCAGTTAGTTTTTTCCTTACAATTAGAGAATTATCTTTCGTTGATTAAAAATTGTCACTTTAAAGTGTTCAATTCCCATTTGTCAGTTTTTTTCACTTATTTGAATTTCGCTCACGATCAGAATCCAGCTGACAATTAGCCTCGCGTTTGCCTTCGTAAACCGGGATCATTCATCGGAATTATAAGCTTTAATGAATGCATAATTCTAATCAAGAAAATCTTATGCATCACATAAAAATGATAATTGAATAACCACTGATAACAGAAGTAACAATGAGAATTTCAGCATGTTATGTAATTTGTTCAGTGATAGTGTGGGCTGTGATATTTTACATGATCGGGGTGCGAGATTCAGTAGATGCAGTCGTGTCATCAGTATCACTATATGTATTCGATGTTGTCTTATTCACTTATTTCGTTTCATTCCCAGTTATCGTTTATATTTATCATCCTTTCGCTAGAAAAAGGTCAGTTCTTTTAATATTAATAATAGTAATAAGTGATGATAATCAGTAGCAACAGGTGATATATCCATACCCAGAGCAGTGTTCCTTAACTTCCCGCTGCACAAAAAGTTGAATGATGCGATAATGAAATTGGTTAATAAAAATGAATTTCAGTGCTGCAATGTTATTCGCACGTATGCACAATACTAGCAATGATATCAATAACAACGAACGCTCACCGGGTGGTAACAATAGGCTGTCAGTTCAAGAGCTGCGAGCCGATCGAAGCCTAGTGGTATCACTGAACGCTCGTTCACCGCCATTAGCCAGTCCCGAGCTGTCGTTATCACCCACTCCGAGAGTTTTATCTGACAGTCACTTGTTACCGTTGTCTTCTCGATTGTACACTTATAATAATACGAACTGTAACATCGATGAGCATGACTATTACTCGCTTCAACAGAGTCAATTTCGTCGCAATGTCAGGATTACAACTACTGTGTGACAGTACTTTGTTCCTTCTGGGAAATCACTAGTAACTTGCATCAACTTTCAGCTGTTAAGTGTTCAGTTTCGTATATTCATTCCTCTTATCTCTCGAAAAATATTAAGCAAGTTTATTATAATATTATCAGTATGATTACTTTAACCTTGATTCTGTTAAACTGCATTGTTGAATAATCCAATATAATGCGATAGCAATATTGTGATAATCCTTATTTGTATAGTGTTCATCTGATTGACTTTCTAACGATTCGTATTTGTAGAACATAGATATATATGTGATCTCGTTGTGGCCAAAATTTTTTGAAATTATGAAAATGAATGTGAACATGAATGAATTTTTGTAAATGTTTAACGCATCAAGCAGCAGTGCATAATAAAACTAGTGCATTTTCAAATGAACCTTATTACTGCGGCATTTATCGTAAGAATGCAATCCTGATTCAGATGTTCGCAACCAGTTCCGTGCAATGTGCTTATATCTAGCGTCTATCTGCTTACTTTCTGACTCAGTTGACTCATTTGCTCCGTTACATGCCGGCATAACATTCAACGATCAGATGTACGTGACAACGAGAAGAGATGTCAAAAATTTTATCCAAAATAGATCATATCCGAAAAGCAACACGAAAATGTTCGTCGAGAATTTGTTCATTATCCAACAAATGTCAGCAACGAAAAGCGATCCATCAGAAAAGAATATCCAAAAGAAGAGCCACAAAAAATCCACCAAAATAAAGATACGAAAATCGAGAGAACCCCAAAACTTAAGCGTATCAAATGAGTGATATTACGTGATGTCATTAAATTCTAAACAACAATAGTGTTTGTTGTATCATTTAAAAAACTTCAAACCTCTGCCTACCTGTTAACAAATCGTGAACTTGAAAGAATTCATCTTGCCTCATATGTATCAGGCCAGGGAATGAATGAACTGAGTAACTAGTGCTACGACTTAAATATAACTGAGCTAGACACAACCGTACTGATTGCTCGTCAGTTTAAAACTATAACATCGATAATAATATACCACAAGATATTGTCAACCAAAACGATACGTTATTGATCTATAAGCGGAATGCTTACGATTGACTGAAAAGTTATCTGCGAGTAAACTAACTGATAGACTTCAAGTAAGAATGAGAATAATATACATATCATACTGTATTTACATATTGTTAACATATCAAACTGGTGCCATTCGATATTTATACAGAAATTTTGAAAAATTTTTGGATAAGTTCGAAGAAAATTCCAGTTTCATTGTCCTCGGAAGTGAAAAGCGGAAATTCTCGCGAACGTTTTAAATGATTACGGGCCGAAAGGGAATAAAAGGATCTGAACGCTGCTTGCAGTCGATACGTTCAGCATTTGCACATCATGACCTGCTCTTCAACAAGAAAACAACAAAAAAACAAACTGAAATTTTGATACACTGGCGAAATAGTAGATACAAGTGAAGTCGCGTGAGCGAAATATCATCAAAACATTTTGGAAAAACCGATAAAAATGTTGTAAATATCTTTTTTTTGAATTATTTTGTTTATTTGAACAGAAAACATGCAGAATTCATGCAAGTGCATGCAAACTGAAAGGTTCATCTGAATGGAATGCGAAAGTTGGCCGCATTTTTTTACAACATGACTGATTATTGATATTGCACATGAGAAATTGCAAAATGCAGCTGAAATTTGAAGGTGTTTCAAATTCGATATATATGTACACATTTGGCACAAGAGACCTGAAAATGAGTGAGAAACGAACGAAATCGAATGAAAATGAAATCTGAAAATGAAGCAGATCAAAAATTTCAAAGGTGAACAATGCAAATATAAATTCGTCCTCTTGACACTACTTTTGGCCTAAACTCTCATAAGTTGCACATTAAAATGATAAGTTCACTTAATTGAATCAAAAAACTCTAACCCATGAAAATTTTGCACACAAGAATGAGAAATCCTCAAACCTACCAAGAAAAAAACAAATTTTCCCAAACAAATTTTTAGGGTAACAAAAATTCCCAAAAGAAAATTCAAGGAATGAAAATCGTATAAAGTGCACTGACGTTTTCCGGGTTCAAGAAATAATTTTTCAAAGACTGAACAACCGTTCGAAGTTGATTGATGTTAAGCAGAATACGTGGCCACCTGACGGAATCTGGAGAGTCTGAGGAGGACTCGCTGATACTTTGCAGGCATGACCACAACTCGGTGTGTAGTATTTCAACGTCTTTATTCTGAACAATTCAAATGTCAATGTTGAAATAAATCATTGAGGGAACTTTCAAGATGACCAACTGAATCGAGGTGATCTGGATTGTAGATGAACAGTGCCGATATGAGCGCCAGTTGTCTGTTGTCCAGTTGCAGCACATTAAATGACTTCGCAATGCTCAGCAATTCGTTCAACACGCGCACAAGCTCCCTTCTGTCATTCTGATCGCAATGGCCAGAAGCAAGCCGTAAGTCTTTACTATCGATTCCAAAAGAATTCCCATTCGACAACAACAACGCACAATCGGTGGGATCGTATTGATGAACGAAATGAAGCAATTGCACTTCCAGCCAGCTATCATTTCCGATCAAATTCTGTTGCTCGTATTCGGACAGCTGAAAATTTTATGAAAGTTTGTAAAAGTCAACAGCTTGAAAGAGCATTTGAAATGATGTTTTCCGAAGTGCGCAACCTTCAGCTCACATTTAGAGGTGTTGTTTGAACGTTGGATGAGTGTTAGATAAGTGCATGTCAAATAGAGATTAATTATGGTGAACGAGCGATCGACAGTTAGCATAAAAGATACTCTTATGATGCATCGTCACTCCTATCATCACCCATCATAAAATCTCAAGTAATTTGGATTTTTACGAATAAATTGATCACCTTTTCATAAACATCAAGACTCCGAGCGAAATCGAGCACCTGACGAACCAGCAGTGATGTTATCGCCTTCCAACGTCCCATCGTTGACGTGCTCGTATTTTTCGGCAGCTGCAAAAATTCTTTCCGAATGAATAGGGAAAACCATTCATTTCCCAGGTAATTGGAAATTCCAAAAAGTGAATAATTTTGCGGAGAAAATCAGCGATTGTTTCAGTAAAATAGTTTACTCACACCACTGACTTCACTATTCACAAAATTGATCTTAAGAATGATTTCTACTCACTCGAACAGGAATATCAATGTATCGACAATAATTGGCTGTGACTGAGTCGATGACGGTACGATACTGGTCTTGTTGCTCGTACAGCGAGCTCGCCTTGATTATGTGCCGCACATGCTCGAGTTCACGTCTCTCACGATTCTCTCGTATCAACCGCCGTTTCGCTGATCGTTCATTCTCATCCAAAACCACTTTAATTTGATCGTTTCACGACGTTAAGTAGAGCGAAACTCAGACACAATCAAAACTTACAAGCGAATCAAAGCAAAACTTCAAAACGAAATCTTCAGACGGTGATAAAGCTAAAAGGAAAAATTATTTTCAGAAAACGAAAAATTCACAATCAGTTGACATTCCATTCCTGATACATTTCAAGAATCGACAACGTTGGCACACGTTTCGGGTGGTTTTGTTGATTTCACATTGTTCATTCTCTTTGCACGTGTATTCGATCTTCTTCTGCAAGTAATAACGGGAAATTATAATAACCATTAGAACTGTGAGAGCGAAGTAAAGAATGTCACATAATAAAACTTACTTGCGCGGTTCTTCTGAAGAAGCCTTTACAGCCCTCACAGGTGATCGCCCTGCAAACCAGATCACTTCTATAATTCCCTTTCAATGAGAGTGCCTTCATAGATCACAGTTTACCAAAATTTTAATCGATTCTTTAAAATATGTTCCTAATATGAGTTCGATTTTCGTAATATCACGATCTCCGAACAGCGAGAGTGAACAACGCTCAAGGAAATGAAACCTGTAATGGAGACCGGTTGCTTCATCACCGCAAACCACGCACAACTGTCCATCTTCCATATAGCTTGGCATATATGGCTGACCTAGAAAAGAATTTCATGAGCAGTAGCAAAACTTTCAATTGGAAAGCTTTTTCATTTGGGCAGATGAACCTTCTTCCCTAGACAATGCTACTGAGAGCAGAAAAAGGTGACCTGAAGACGATAATGATTCAACGCAGACATTAATCAATCAGCTTTACGCAATCAAGACGCTTTCTGCTGACCTCAACGTAAAATGACAATCGTCTATGATGCAATAGACTGTGCTCATTGAGCACGACGACGACTGCTATCGAGGTTGATGCAAATATGCGTTTATGTGAACAACATTCACTTACAACTTCTTTGAAAGATCGCTGTTATTAAACAGAATAATGCAATCCATTAAGAAACGTAAAACTCAAATTGCATCTCAAAAATGGATGCACATTTAGGTAGATTCCTTCATGAATGCAGTTTGCGGTGAAAGAAGGATAAAAGTTCCGGTGGACGAAAGCTTTCAAAAGATCAGGTTCAAGCTCAGTCTGAGGTTTCTCCACTTTTCCTAAATTTAAGAGAGACGCAAGAGAAGTGTGAATAGTGAGAGAGACAGACAGGCAGATAGATAGCTAGACCGACGCAAGAGAAATGCGAATAGTGAGAGAGCCAGACAGGCAGATAGATAGCTAGATCGACGCAAGAGAAATGCGAGTAGTGAGAGAAACAGCTAAGCAGATATAAACCACCTTCATAAGAATACGGTAAAAGTGCATCATCAAATACGGTAGTGCTGCAGTCAAAATAAGAAGTTTACTTCGAAGATTTTCAGATGATTTCGAAACCGCGTTTGGGCAATTTCGTACTGAAGGTGAGTTTAACGAATTTGTAAGAAAGAATTCACCGTTCGATTAGCTAAGAAATGAGAATTTGTTGGACGTTGATAGATTGTTGGATGAGATAGTGAAGAACAAGTGAATAGCGGTCGGAAGATAATAATCTGAAGCTGTAAAGACGGAAGAAGTGTTTCATGTTTTACGGAACGTTTTACGATCCCAATAAAATTGATATGGTGGTTTATCTAGTAGTCAATCTCAGCCGAAAGCACGCAGAATAACAAGTGAAATTGTACTGCTCACTGTCAGTATGCTTTCAGATAAGTAGAATCGTATTTCAGAGATTGAAGCGCATATTTCGAAATGGTTTGATCACGAGAAAACTTGTAAATTTCATATGATCAAATGCTCGCTTATTGGTCAAATCTCGTTGATTATACTCATCTGAAAAATCGGTTCGATTTGCGCCAAATATATATTCGTTCGTTGAGGAGTTGTACTGAAAGCTAATATGAAGAGATGTTGATAGGAAGAACTTATAGCTAGAATAAACAATGTCGAGTGTGAAATTCATCAAAGATTACCTTTATTCCGAATTCTCAGTGGCGTGCTGCTGCTCATAATTCATCAGCAAATAAAAACAATCGAGAAACAGAAGGCACTCTTCGTTTAAAATATCCGTAATAAGAGCACTTGCTTGACACAGTGAGTATCAAAAACTTCCGTTCGTCAAATTGAATTCTACCACATCTATGACGGGTTTAAATACACCGACGATGAATGGGCGGGATCGTGGGCAGATATTTTATAATCAGTTGGAGAGATGAGCAGAGAGATGGGAAGATGAAAACACCTGTTAACGCAAATTCAAGGGTGCCACTTTTGTGCTCAAGCTGATATCCGAATTGATACGAACTGATGTGGTCACATCTCTTCGTTTATTATCCATCCGATCTCATCCCTCTCTCATCAATAATAACTACCGTTTGTGGGTCACTGAGATTGCGCAATGAATTGCGCATCAATGCAAACTCAAAAAGAACTACCTACCCACATATGCAAAAAATATCCCATCGAATCTTATTGCCTCTATTTGTCCCAAAAACCCCACCACACTCCCCCGAATAATCCTCACATTGTTGTTCGATCCCATCCAAAAACTGCCAACCACAGAAACTCTCTCATCACCTTTCATCTTAAGGACCTCATTGTTTTTATGGAACTCTGCTCACCACAACCCAAGAAAACAAATTTATTCTCTCGTGACAAACGCAAACAAAAATTTGTTGTCACATCAGTTAAATAACATCAACAATAAATTAACACTAACTATACTGATTTACCACACGCAAAACAAAGCATTCACCGCATCCCTCACTTAAACGAAGCAAAACAAGTGAAATGGAATCCCGATCAACACGGAACATTAACAAACACACAAAAAAAGCCATACCAAACGAAATCAACATTTCTCACAAATAATGCACTTCAGCGATCATTCAAACACTGCAGATAACAACAATTTAAACGATCAGTCAGCAGGGAACTGAAAAACAAAACACACATTCAATGCAACGACCATTTCAACAGTATTCATCTCTAATTCGTTGCATCTAGAATTGTGCATTTTTGAACTGATCATAAGGCAGATCGTTTCTGAGCGAGAGTATCTTCTTAACTTCATCGCTATTCAACAGACGATTGTGTTCGGCTAGCTGCTGATAGTAGTCTACAGCTTCATCAACACTCTCGACGTTGATCAACGCTACCATCTGGAAATATGTTAGCCGTTATCATGCACGTACCTTTACAATAAATAACGAAACCAACAAAATAAACAAACCTGTGACAGTCTGTTACACTTCTCGCGCAATGCCCATCCAGCGATACTCGTCAAGTACGACGTCAACGCCCGAAATTCTCGATCGAGTTGCAGTGCGCCAAGTCGATTGAAAACACTTTTCAATATGACACGTTCCAGTTGTCGATTCACTTCTGCACATACTGAACACAACAATTCCTAAAAATACTACTCTCATTACTCGCTGTCAACAGTTCATCGGGCAGTTTTTCCGCAAGAACCCAAAGAAATCAACCTGATAGTTGGACTGCACCAGAACTGGTTCGAATACGGCCAGCTGTTTATCCAATGACGCAATAAAGGCATCCATAAACGGATCGGCTCCCTCGAAATCACTCAGATCTTGTTCGGACAACGAATGAGAAACGTCCAAATATAATTCAGCACTGAAACCGATTATGCTATGTGAGCAATGTGGACGAATGAAAAGCAAAAAGCAAATTTAATCGAAATATCCCACGCCATTCAAGAAAGAAATTTAATCACGAAAATGACTGCAACACGAAAAGGGTCAAAAATGAATCAATTCGAAACCTTGTCTTCAGTTTCGGTCTGAATGCAGCTGCACACAATTTCTCGACGCCAACGTTAGCAAAGTTGTCGAACTTTCGAACAAGATCATCGAACTGCGATAAAGCATTGTCCAGTTTACCTTTCTCCGAGTCACTCAACTACAAATCTATTTGTAAAATCATCCCACTTGACAAAGTGCACTCAACATGCCTAACAATTTAACTCGAGACACTAGCAAATCAAAAAGAATTGGCTAGGAACTTCAACGAAAAACATAATGCAAGCTGAAAATCATATCGAAACAAAGCATCAGCAAATACTAAAATAATAATAATAACATCAATAAAATTCACCTGCGTAAGATGTTTTTCAAAGTCTTCAACGAAACCCCTTCGCAACGTCCGAATACACTCTGCGGATGTACGCAAGTCGTTAACTGCGGTCAGGAACGCCTCGAATCGTTATAACGATAAATTATCGCAACACATTCAAAAATTAATCGACCCCTTAAAGTCAGACATTTCCAAACCCCAAATTCATTACACTCCAATGACAACAACTCAACATCAAAACCCAAGGAACTACAATCAACAAACTTCTTTCTGCCTCTCGGGTCCGGCATCTGCAACCGTTTTACCGTGCTGAATCACATTGTAAGCTGTCTGAGCGGTCTGATAAGCTTCAGCTGTCCATCCAACACTTGGATAGCCATTCTAAGAACACATAAAATAAAACAGTGAATAAGTGAACGATCGAAAAAATTAACGAGCAATCCAATGCAGCCATAAATAATGGATTCAAAAGGAACATCGGCTCATCAATTCCTTGAAAACATCGATTTCTTGCGATAAATTACATGACCAAACACTCAGAACAAATAAATAAAAACCTTAACATCCGCGTAAATAAACTTCAAAAAATCCAACTCGAGTGCAGTTGCGCCATTATTCAACATAGCACAAACACAATCCACTGATGAAGAGCTCAGTGATCTGCGTACGCATTTGCGAACAATAAAGAACACATCGTCAAGCATCGAGCTGAATGCTTCATTTTATGAATTCATTACTCGCATCTTATTCACTAAACTACAACTCTGCAAAGCCAAAATCGTTCTACTCAAAAATTCATTACATAAAGTAAGAAGGTGAAACTGAACCTCGTCAGCGAGTCCGCCTCTCTTGTGCTCATATTCATCGCTTTCGCTACTGATTCCTTCATGTAATATTCTTCCATCAATATATAACGACCCAACAATTCCTGTGTCCATTAACGATCATACCATTAATCAAGTAAAACTTTCGTTATAAACTGCTCTGAAAAGTTAATCTGACCTGCATTTTAGTTCCGAGTAGCGATCGATTCAGAAGATTATCCAGTTTGCGATCCCTGTCTAATTTCTCCTTCGCAGATGCTTCTTCCATCTGACGACGTTCTTCGTCCGATAAGTCTTGACCTAACGACTCTTTTCTCTACAATAATAACTCGTCAGTTAGATTTATCTAAAATAATGAATGGAAGTGATTCTGAAGCCGTCTGACTTGTTCATCAGTCTTCGCATTGGCCGCATTCAGACGTCTTCTCAGATATCGCCAATACAACTCAGCTCTTGTGTGCATCACGGTCACCTCACTTAACAACACATCTAACTCAAGTGCATCCATCCTCTCTGAAATTAAATACAAACATAGAATTTCTCGTTGAAAGTTTATATCAAAATCAATCACTTACAAAAACAACCAATATTTTCAAAGGATTCACATCGCTATCACTGAATACCCACCTGATGAAGTGTATTTATCAACATTTCTTGAATATTTATCCACCAATTTCGCTTTACTCTCATACTGTCGATTCTTGACGAATGCTGCGATAATACGTTCTGCTTCTTTATCACATTCTACCTGAAACAGTGGCTATGTAACGAGTAAGTCCACCTGACAACCAACCAATCAAACTACCTGCAGCATTTCAATAAGTGACAGCATCTTGTCAGCTCCATAGAATGAGTCTATCAAAGGCTCGTGAATCTGTATCTCTCGTGCAATACCTGAAATACGCCATTTCTAATCTCGAATCGTAAACACCGAATGCAACTTGAAAATAATTCATAGCTTCAGATCGAAATCATGAAGCATATTTCATTTCACAATCATAAAGAAGCACCTTCAAACAGCATCGTCAACGCATCTGCATAAAGCACGTTCACTCGTTTATCGTCTGTGCCACCAGCCATCATTACCTCAAAAAAAAAATGAACCAGAAAAGCTAATCGCCATAATCGCATTAAAAAATCGTAATTCTCCACCTTGTAATTTGACTCAGCCATTTTGCGAATCTCTTGTGAAAGGTAATTAGCGAATCGAGTGATGCCTGATGAATGCTCATTGATCAGAGGGAACAGTTTGAAGAAGCGTTGCAACGAGGCCACATCTCCACTTGCTACTGCCTTTAAATGAGTTTTATGAAAATGATCTTTTTATAAGAACAATAATCAAATTACCAACCTCATCAAACTTCGACTCGATAATTGCTTTCAAACTGGACAATGCCTCTCTCAACACGTCATAGTTCTTCTTCAGCGACTGTCCAGCATCTGAAATACGCAAATAAATGTTGCTATTTTCATCACTCGTAATAATTAAGTACCTCTGGTATCAAATTGATCACCCATTTGAAAAACAGCCGTATCAAGAGTCAAGAATCGATGGATATGTTGAGCAGCCAATTCGAAATCTTCTTCTTGCATCGCAGAATTGACACCATCAGCACACTTACGCAGATCTATCAAATCACTTACTCTCTGCAGACATTCCACTACCCGACCTTTGGCCACATCCAGAGAGGATACCTTAACATCACTTCATTTAATTTGCCACAACACTTCAAAAGTAGGTTCAAGATTCAGAGCAGTCGGCAAAGCACAAAGCTGAGATCATCTCGCAAAAATCTAGAATACAACCTTTCCGGAGATATTATCCGCGAGGCCAGAAATCATTTTCAGATTATTGGCCAACTGTTTTGCGTCTGATTCTACCAGAGCCATCTGATTGTTGAAGCGTGTAATGGCTAGATTGAACGAACGACTCACATCCACGCCACCTGCAGCATTTTACTCGATTACAAAAAGAATTAATTCTCTTTGCTAATCACCTGAACTGACTGACGCTTTTTGAATCACCTCTTCCATATTACACGTTATTCGCTCCTCTTCACTACGCTTCAAAGCCAATTCACTTCTGAAAGCCATAATGCTCCAACTCAGAATATTTATCTCTGACAAGCGCAACACTGCTTTGTTCGAGCAATAAAATCCTCAGTTTCATTCCGCACGCTATAAAATCGTTCAAAACGACAAAGAACCTTAATTCCGACAACATATCAGTGAAGTCGAATCGCAGATCTGGTGCTCTTTCGGGTTTATCCCTCATACGTCCCATCGCAACTTCACAAACTAAAATCACAAATGAACGCCTCTGCCCCAAAAGACAACCACAAATGTCAACTGTACACATGCTTCCAAACTTTTCTTCAGCTTTTTTATTCGAAACTATTCTTTATCTCACCTTTAAACATGTATTCTTTCATCATTTTGAATGCATAATCGTTTTTTTTGGTCCTTTCCGATTCGTTAACAATAATAGTATGGATGATAAATAAAACTGACCATCTTTATTTGGCTTTCCAATCGAAAATTTATGATAATATCGTGACGAAGGCAATTTGGCGGTAACGTTGATATCATTGTGCATGGACTGGTGATGGTGACCCCTTTCAGATGGTAAACTGCCACTGGTTTCTATGCTAGCAGAAGACGATAAAATTTCACTGGTGGACAACATTTGTTCGTGCAAGCAGAAAATGATGGCGATTGAATAACAGATTAATGCGAGAAGAATCTGAAATTTGGAATGAATAATGACTGGGATATTATGCAGGTGGCTTAAGTCTAGAATCTGGCCCAGATCCATACTCAAGTTCACAATCAGTTTAGAAAACCTATATTAAGAGGGCTCAGACTTGTGTCCATGTTTCTAGGCTGAACTCTAAATGTTTTTAGAAGACTCGCTCATAGAAAACAGAACCTAGGGCAACAACTGCTCAAGATGGATGACTTCGAAATGGTTCAAAATCGAACATGCTCCATTAAGAGAGTCCAGATCCAATAAAATACTCACACAAACATAAGAAATATGATGAAGATATTCCAGAGCGCAATGAAAACACGGAAGTACTGTAATGATCTCAGGAATTCCCGTATACGATCACCGACTGAGCGAGGCTCTCCTTCGACAATTGTGAACGATTGTAATTGCTCTGCGCTTTTCGAACTGAGAAAAACAACATGATCAGTTCAGTAAGTAACACTCATACTTCAACTAGCAGACAAGAAACTAACAGTTTGAAGTTTAGAACAGCAAAAGCGTTGACGATCAACGTTGAGGCAACGACCAATTCGGAAAGCATTATATTGCAGTCGAATGAACTGATCACTTTATTGACTGATCGTGATCATAACCATCAAGGAAATCTGCTTGCGAAAAACCTTCGGTGCAATATTGAAGATGAAAAGATTGAACAACTCTTCCACGTATTCTTCGTTGCTAACTCGTCGAAATATAAATTTTGGCGAAACATCGAATCGGATTTAAATTCGCCACAAATGGTATCGTGCAGCTGAGCCTCACGGATAAGTAATAATGCAGACAGCAACAATTCACGACCGGAGTTCTGATAAGGTGTTGAACTATGCAGTATTTGCGCAAACCACTTACAATAGATAATAAGTAAATGCTCTGCGGTAAGCCAGAGTCTGAACCTGGAGTGAGCCTTTAACCCTAACCTAAAGGGCATGGAATTACCAGGCCCGGCCGGGTAAAGATTTGCTGAGCCGGGACAAAATTCGCTGGGTCTAGGTAAGAATGCAGGTGAGTGAATTGTGGAACACCAAGCTACTGCAAAAAGCTGCTGTGAAGCAATGAGTGTGAGTGGAAAATGTTTAGTTCTTCCGGATTAGACTGAATGTGGCCTACTGAGAATGAGTACGTATGGTGAATGGGAATTGATGCGAAAATTCAGATGAAAAAAAGGAATTTGCAAGGAGGCTAACCAGCGAAGTTGGATGGAGACTGACCCTTAAAACTGATAAAATTCTGGATTCATTTGCTAAAGATCATCAAAGAAACTGAGACAGAATCGCATTGATAAAAATATCTGGTCCATCACGATACAGTGCTTCTCAGGTCTGCCGGAAGAACGAACTGCTACTGAAAGTGTGATAATTCTGCGGAATATCGTTTTGATGATATTAATCACAATGCTGGGAAGTTACTCTACTCAGGTGGATGTAATCGAATGAATGACCGATGCAATCTTCTTTAAATGCTCTATTCCAATCCATCATCAGCACACGCTCGCAACCTTACATCCAAGCCTGTTGTCCATACAATAAGAGTATTCCTTTCGCACGAATCATTTATTCATTTCGTTAAACGTTTTCTTAGCATAAGTCCACTCAATCAAACATTTAAATTAACTGAAATAAAGATCTGAGACGTCCCGAGTCAACCGGAGAAACCGGATGACTGCATATCTCGCCCTCAAATTCCGGATATCATGATTATAACTGTACGGATAAAAAGATATTGCGAGGAACAAGATCAATGCCAATATTTAAATTCGCGCTTTGCTAACCTTCGAGCGGTTTTTCAAATTGGGTGCAAAATTTTGACAGTTTTTTGCCTATAACTCTGCCGAAAATCCACCAAATGCAGACTTTAACTGTGGAAAATATCGATAAAAGAGTCCCAAACTTAAATCCGAAATCAAAATCCAAAATCCTTCAGTGCTGATCGAGTTTGAGCGCAAAATCGATATTGGGATCATATCGAAAAAATATTTTGCACACCCCTCACTTTTTGTGCTTTTTATTCGGTGAATCCGTGCGCCGGCCAATTATTGGCAATGAGCCGAGGCGCGTCGATGCGAGATGTCGTATGCAAGCGACCTGCTACCTTATTAATTGTAATTTCTTAATTAATTTGCAAAAATTGTGATTACGCTATGAGTTATTAATTATTTGTCGCAATATTTATTGTTCCGCACCTTCTGTTCGCTCTATTTTCATGCTGATTAACGCAGTTTGAATCACTTCAAAGACATCGTTTTACAAATTACTTCAAATGCAGTTTTATTTAGTGATCGTGCAAAATCTCGTTATACACCACATAAACAAGATTAAATGGATTGTGATGATGGAAAAATTCCGGGCGAAGCGTCGTCAAAAGCCAATGACCTGGCGGCGAAAGAAGCGAGTACGGAATCCGTATCTGAAATGATGGAAGAATCCGTTACGACTCCGTCAGAAGCGAGTCATCACAGAAGTTTATTCGGAACAAGTGCTGCTGGACAAACTGACCCTCAACAGCAACAAACAGGTCAATGTCAACGTGAGTTTGTTCTTAATTGTGTGATATTCCAGTCTTTCCTTACTTATAAAACCATGTATTATCCGCGCAAAGACTTTTACTTAAGCTCAAGATGAAACCTTCGTCAATTTTCAGGCATAACTGCTGATTGTGGGTAAGTAAAAGAGGGAAGTGGGATTGCCGTAGTCATTCTGAGTGAAGGGAATTTAAACGTAATTACTTGCAGAGGGTGTTGCGTCGACCGAGACTGAAACGCAACAAGCACGTTCAGTGATGCAGTCAAGTCTAGAAACCATTTTGACCAACGCCATGCATGAGGCGTCTGGAGATGAGAGGCATCGTGAAACCGAAATCAGTCAGTCGTCTGCGAGAATTATTTTGGATGGAGATTTGGAAGAGCTAAGAAAGGAGAAAGTACAACTTGGTATGTTTCACAACATTAAATTGACATAGCTCTTCGGCTTTATTAAATTGAACATCCACTCTCCAACTATTCAAAGTATGGGCTCAGCTAGCTGTTTCGAAATTGAGGAGTCACCAGTTCCTCTCGTGTAGAGAAATTTTGCGGAATGGGAAAATTCTTATGGGAAGTTTTCATGAAAAGATGTTCGTTCAGATCAATGAAAATATTTGTTGTAGAACAGGAGCTGTTCATTTTGAATGAGAAGCACAGTTCGATGCAAACAAAATTCCATCAGCTCGGTGAAACTATTACGAAACAAAAAGCTGAGCTGGATTCGTTATCGATTGATCGTACGCAAAGGATGGCAGTGATGCGAGAGTTGGAAGCTGAACGAGATCAGTTGATGCTTGCGAAGGTTATGTGTTATCTTTTCTGGCTTTTAATACGTGCATTTACTAAACTGCTTCGAGGAACTCGCCTTCTTTGTGAGCATTAACGACATGCAATGATCTGAACGTTTTACTGAGTTTCAGAATGAGAGTGAACAAAAATCATCAATGTTATTATTACAAAAACAAGATTACGAGAATCGCATTGAGCGCCTCACACACGAAAAGTGTCTGCTCGCAGGTTTGTTGATTAATTTGGTGAAGGAAAGGAATTCTCTGTTTCATCGATTGTTTCTTGTGTTGAAAGTATATGAATATGGCGTTGAGAGTTTGTTCCCTTTTCATTCATTTCGTCATGCAAATTTCAGCCGATGTACAAAATTTAAAAAATGAACTTGAGCGATCCGAGACGAAGAACTGTTTAATGCAGACACAAGTCGATGAGGTGCAAAAAGAAAAACGAATGTTCCAGGTGCAACAGCTTTCTTTTCAAAGTTTTTTAATTCTTTGGCAGTATTACTATCCAGTCTTCCGTCAGTGTTCAAATCAGTTTCATGCCGCCGAAAGTGATTATATGTTTCACAGTGGCCCATTTGCTACTTGAGTTTTTACTTTGATGTTCAGTTCGAAAAAGACTGTTGGTCACAAGAGAAAGAGATTTACTTGCGAAATCGAGAATGGTTCACGAACGAGATCAATGAACGCGACTCAAAATTGACTTTGTTGAGAATCGAATCCGTGAGTTCAATTACTCGTTCTGAAAGCATCATCGTACTCTTATTATATTAAATATTTCTCATTTGATTGATAATTGTTCGAATTTTGAATTAAACATTCCAGGCGCGTATAACCGGCGAGTTGGAAGCACAGAAAGCGAATGTTGTGGACGAAGTGGAAACGGTAAAAGAAAGCCTGAAGAAGGCACAATCTCAGGTCAGTGCGCGAGATGAACAGATCACGAAATTAAACGATCGCATCAAAGAGGTTGGTGAATTGTTCATTTTTATTCTTCTCGAGCAAGGACAGATAGCTGTTGTGGAGATATTTTATAACTGATTGGAGAGATGTAGCAGTTTGCTGTTCTATTAAGACACTGTGATTGGATCACGTAATGAGTTTATTTATGCAGGTGTTAGAGGATCGCGCCGCTCGAATCAACAAAATGGAAGAAGAGTTGTTGGCTGCAGAACGTTTGTTATCGGTTTACAAGGAGGCGAGTGAGGATGCGGAGAGACATTTGAATCAGTTGAAAGTCGACTACGACGATCAGCGAAGATTGTTCGATGAATCTAAGGATGGTTCGTGCATTTAGTTGGGTATTGGGAACAAGAGCCATGTAATTGCCGAATGAATGAAGAAGATTTTGGATTTTGTTGAACTAACAGCCCTTTCTGAGATGTCATTTTTAGCTTATGAAGGAATTCGTTCGCAGATGGAAACTCAAGAAGAAACGCATGCAGTTGAGCTACGTACTAAAGGTGAGTGAACCGTTTTTCTTTGAACATTGTTTGAAAAGTGCTTGGAAATTGAGTGAAATGCGTGAATTGTAGATGAGAAAATCGCTGAACTGAACGACGAGTTGTTGAAGGCGAATGATCTATTGAAATCGAAACATCGACGTGAGTGTTTTCATCCATTTGAAAAGTTTTTTCATCGTTTTGTTTTGATCGATATGTTTTTTTTTGTTTTTTTTGAATAGTGATTATTGAATTTTATGGGTTGAATCGAGTTTTAGTGACGTTGGCAGACGATGAAATAGCTGCATTATCGCCGTCGGCAGCTGCCGCATGCTCGTTGATACGAAGTGGTGTGTCGTTGACGGCGATCTATCGAGAGCACTGTCGAGTGGTGGCCGAACTGGAAGAGGTCAAAGATGAAAACGCGAAATTGGAAGCGAATTTCAGAGAGCTTGTCGAGGTGCGCTCACAGTGTTTTGGAGTGAATATTGCGCTTGCCTCTTTGGAAGCATTTGATCGGATTTGAGTGCAATTGTTATTGATTGTTAGCCGTATTTGTTGTGCTGGATATTCGGGAGATGCGCACTCGCGTATCTCCCAAAAAATTTTTGCCAAATTTTTTGATCTACTCGAAAGTCAAACACCAATTCCGTGTCGCACTCATAATTTTTTTTATCGAGATTTTTGATCTACCTGTAGGTCAACGCTCTCTGTTTGATTCACTTGTGAAAAGCGATCGCCGAGAGCGTTGATAAAAGGCAAATGTTCAGGAGATCGAACGAAAAGCACCGATATTAACTCAGCAGCGCGTCGAGCATGAACGTGTCTCAGAGCTGTGCACACGTCTTCAGAATCAGCTGCAAACAGCCGATGATGAAAGACAGCATCTGATCTCGGCAAAGGATGCAGCAACTCGGGAATTGGCCTACACGAAAGCTGAACTGGAAAGATATCAAAGAGATAATGAGGATATGGCAAGACAAGTATGGCATTATCACTCAATTCTAATGCTCATTTCTCTCAATGAAAACATCCTTGAACAGATACAAGTCAAAACACGAATAACTATTGGGCATCCCAAAGAAGTGAAATTCAATCAGTGAAGTAGAAAATGGATGAAACGAACATTCATAATTTGAATGGATAATCACTTGGATACAGTCAACTGATGCTTACGTTTGATTCATGTATAGATAACTTCACTGGGCATTGCACGTGGACAAGAAAGGTGCGCAGGTGGATTGCACTAAGTAGGTCTGTCAGTAGGAATAAACTTCAGATTCGTCATTTGCTGCACGCTTATGAGGTGAATCGTGCGTCGATGGGTCGTGACACAGACTCACCACCGATGAGCGAGCAAGATCGTGACGTTCTGTGGTCATCGATTGGCGAACTGCAGAAAGTCAATCAGAAACTGCTGTCTGATCTGAGAGCAGTGCGAGCAAATAACCAGAAAGCAATTGAGGAAGCGAATAACACTGAGTGAGTAGCAAGATCGGTTCATTCAGGGAAAGATTTCTGTATTGTTCTTAGGTAGTCCTGTCGTTCTGGAAGATTCGTGCAGCTTTTGCTCATGAATCGGTTTGAAAGTGGTATTTTAAAGCATCGTTCCAGGATCAATCGATTGGTCGAGGCGTTATCAGAAGCAACCAAGAAACTGGATACGATGAAAGATTATTCTGCTAAGCAAGACGTTGTGATCGAGCAACTGAAGCAGCAGCGTGATTCGTACAAAAATATTGCAGGTCAACGAAAAACTGAGGAAGAGGTGTGCTTTTTGGTGAATGCACGAACGTTATTGTTATGCCCGCCTCAGAGGGCGAATTCCGATGTTAACGAGATAAATATTGCTTGCAATTTGAATGTTTGTACTTTTCAAGTCGGGCACAATCTCACGAGAGTTGAGCGATGCACGCGTCATGATCGCACAGCTGAAGGTGCAGTCGGAACGTTCTGAAAAAACACTCGAAATCTATCGTGAGGAGAAACATCAAGCTGAAAAGTCTGTGGTGCTTCTTAAAGTTTTGTTTTTTCAAGAATTTTTTAGGGTGGTGATGAATTAATGAGATGACAGTGAGCTGGAATTGTCTTGTTGATTAGTGTTCGTCTGTAGTGATTTAGTTTTGATGCATTCAGGATTCTGCAAGATCGTATTGATCAACAGATCACACTCATTTCTGGGCTGAGAAAGACGAACGGAAAGCTGGAAGCAGATTTTGAACTGCAAAAGCAAACTCAAGAGATGCTCAAGAAACAGGTTCATTGAATGCCTTTCAAAAGATTGATCTGTGAGGTAAAGAGTTGTGATTTCACAACGATGAGATGGAATTTTGGGGTAGAGTGAAGCTAGCGTGCTGGAGGTGGAGGCAGATTGTATAGTTGTCGAATGGAAATTGTAATCGGTGAATATTTCAGAGTGAAACGGACGAGCAAGAGCTGTTGAGCCAACGTGAGAAGAACGCCAAATTGATGACTGATTTGAAAGTTCTAAGCGAAAGATTGACGTTGACCCAGCAAGAACTGATCGCGTCTAAAGGCGAAATCGCTAAATTCAAGTTGGTTTTGTTCAGCATTGCACTTTGCATCATGCGTGTGAATTTCATAGTTTATGAATTGTTGCTTGAAATGTTTTTGCATTTGTTCAGATCCGAAGTGAATACGATGCGTGATGAAGTGACACTGCTGCGAAGTACGAATGCCCGACTTACACAAGAATTGCAAGTTGTGCGCGAGTCGAGTTATAATAACGAGAAAATGGCATTTGCCATACAGAAGATGCAGGTTTGGATTGAAGATCGTTTTAGACTTGATGTGTGTGTGTGTGTGTGTGTGTGTGTGAATTTTTTAATTTGCTCGTTAAGAACGGAAAGTTCAGATGGATTCTATTGGAATGTCCGATTTTCAGAACTTCTCATGTATCAAATTAAACGAGATTAAATTCCTCATTGAATCCAGTAAGTTATTGACTGCATGGATGTGTTTGTACCGTTCGTCTTTATCAACCAATCTCTCATTTTTTCAGAACCGATTGGACCATTCGGATTCAGAGAAGTTGAAACAATTAGAAGACCATTTGACGATCGCAAAGAATGAGAACGAGAATATGAAGAAGTTTGTTGGTGAGATCACGGAACAGCACCGGATTATCAGTCTTGACTTGAAGGTGACTTGTGAAAACTTTTTTTCAAACTTGCGAAACTTTCTTATTTTTTTAGTGGTGGAAGTTTTTATAATTTAGTAGTGACCATATAATTTAGTGGTCCCACAATGCGTAGTGAGGGACCGAAACATGGTCTCGTGGTGTAGCGGCTGTCACGCCTGCTTCACACGCAGGAGGTCGCTGGTTCGGTCCCGGCTGGGATCAGGAGACTTTGCTAGGGTTTTGGGGTTTCGATACACTTGTCTGTGGTGTTGCATTAATTTCCAGGAGTTTCTTTTTTTGGGTGGGGGAATATTTGTAGCGGCGAATTGAGAACTCAGAGAGTTTCATGTTCAAGCATGCGGTGCAATACTATGTTTTTCAAATGTTATCAGCAACATTTTAGAGCTCTTACGCTTTTTTACTTTGTGAATGCAGATGACCACGAATAAGATCGCCACTGAACGTGATCAAGCATTGGCATCAAAGAAATCAGCCGAGGATCGTCTCAGCTTCAAAGAGAACGAGTTATCGCAACTTCAGAGCAAGTATGATGAGTTGATGCGACAGATCAATGCACCCGATTCTGTTGTTGGTCAGTGCCTAATTATTGCTGATGCACAGTAAATTCACACTTTAAATTGATGGTTGATGGAAAAGAAAGTAAAAGAAGAGCAACGTATCATCCAACTGTTCTTTGCATTCAATGGAGTATTGTTAGTACGGAACAAGATAGTTCAAAGAAATATGTGCCTAATGCCAATATTTCAGATACAACCGTGGAGGGATACAAGAAAGATGCACAACAACTACGAAATAAGAACAATTATCTGGAGAATCAATTGAAAGACTTGACAATGAAACTTGAAGGTTTGTCTGCTTTTTTTTCAGTTCTCAAATCAGTTCACTGCGAATTTCAATGATCGATTCCGAAGCAGTGAGGTGTGGACGGACACATCTCATGTGAACGCAAAGAATTTCTTGAGTGTTCGTGAAATTTCAGCCGCTGAAAAGAAATTGACGGTTCGTGAGAAAGAGTTGGAAAATTTCACAACGGTTAGCGGAAATCTTGAAACGACACTTGTAGAACAGAGTGCTGTGAGTTATCCTTATGTTTTGTTTCACAGCAAATTTTCATTTTTTGTAAATGTCCATTTATTTGTTTTTGTCATTTTGTTTGTTTAAAATAGTGCAGCTCATTTCAAAGATAAGTTTCATTGCAGTCGAGCGCAGCCGAACGTCGTAGTTTGCAGTCGATGCTCGATATTGCAAATGAACAGTTGGAAGCGAGGTGATTCTTTGAGATGTCTTGAGTATTTATTTGTTCATTTGCTTTGGGTGAGATTTTGATGAAAATTGAATTACAGTACGGCAACAGTATCGCAATTGCGAGGTGAAGTTTTCAAATTGGAGCAACGAGTTTCTGAGGAGTCGATGAGATGTGAACAGCTGAAGGTATGATTATGGTTGTGATTACCTTAGATGGTTCATAATTTTACTTTTTTAGATGAGCGCTCAGAAGGAGATCTCTGAGGTGGAAAAGAAGTTATCGAACTTGGAAGCTTTGCGAATCAATGGTGAGGCACGGTCAGAAGAGTTGAGAACGGAGCTGGACGTACTGAAAGCTTCAAATAAATCGGTTTGTTACTTGTTATTGTTCTCGTTCTATACATGAGTTCAGCAAGACGAGTGTTGTTGTGCGACTGGGGTGATAAACGAAACCATAATAAGAAAGTTTATCATTTGAATTGTCAGTTGGAAGAGGAGAAAGGAAGACTGCGAGAAAGTGTACACAAACTGGAAGACGATTGCAAAAACGTCCAGAGCAAATTGTTAATTGCTGAAAATGCGCGATCGGAATGTGAGAAACACGTGGAACAAGCGCACAAGACGAACGCCGATGAAATTGTTAGGAATGATTCTGATTTGTTTTAATACCGACTCTGATTTTGACAATTGATAGCAACGCGATTTCAGTCAGTTCTGAGAGTGGATAAAAAGAAGTTGGAATATGAGTTGCAAGAGGCGAAGGAACTGAATAAACAACAAACGCAGAAGATTGAACTTCTTAACGATCAACTCATGAAGGTGCAGTTAGATTATTGTATGGCAGTTTGATTATTAGACGAGAACTGTTTTTGGCACTTGATAGAGAAATGTAACGTTCTAATTGCAGCTATCCGAACGAGTCGCATTTCTGGAGAGGAGTGCTGAAGGGATGTCGAGCGATTCATCGAGTAGATCTGCAAGCTCACTTTACGACGTTATCAAGTATTTGCAAGTGGAACATGAGAAGGTCATTTCATATTATTGGTTGATAAGTTGGTGTTGAGTTGCACAGTTTGGATATGTAACTCTTGTTAGAAATTCTATTTGAGAGGAGGAGTGATGAATGAAACTATCTTTTGATTTTATTGAAGCTTTTTGAAATTTGTTCATCGAAAAATTAGATTGTTGTAATAGATTTGAATTTTGCAGGAATCAGAAAGGACGATGAATGCGGAATTGCAGTGGAAACGTTTGGAAGCACTACAAGCGGCCATCGTTGAACGAGATCAGAAACTTCAAGAAGAGGTGAATGCACTGCGTAGTAAGGCTGAAGTGAGTATAGTTTTTAATGTGATCATCTGAGTTGCTTTGTACTTGTATTGTGTGTTAATTTACTTGAGGAGAGTGTGAGAGCAATCGCCGAGAAGAGTGAGGTGGTGTGCAGACTGACAATGCTACAGGGCGTGCAAAAGGAGAACGTCGAGCTGAAAGCACAGCTGCAGAAATACACGGCAAACGTTGAACAAATGACAAAAACGGTGCGTTGCGGGTGGTGTTATCGTTTGCTTTAGTATTGTTACTGCAATTGTGCTTGTTGCAGGTGAACGATCTGAAACATCGTTTGGCAGGCGTTGAGGCCGAGAAGATTGCCGATAAAAGTAAACTTCAGAATACGACCACTGATCTGCAGAATGCCAAGAAAGAGGTGGGCGAAAAGACTTTAAGACACTCACTTTTGAAAGACCTTCAAAGGAAAAGTTTGAAATGAATGTTTTGGAAGAGTCGAAAAATGAATAGTTTGATGGAATGGTTGAGTACCTATTCATTAATATGAGAGAATTTAGGCCGAGTTGTGGAAGGGTCGTCATTCACAAGCGATGTCTGCGTTCGGCAAAATTGGTCCTGAAAGAGTGCTGAACCTAACGTAATCATTTGTTTTATTCGAACGAAATCCGGTCAGGCGACTCTAAGAGTACGGATGAAAGTTTCGTTCATTTCTGAACTCGCGAAGAGACTTTATGAATCGAATCACTGACAGTATTATCGCAACGATCTTTCTCCCTTTTTACAGCTAACGTCCATCTGCATTTTGATATTAGCGTACTGAAAAAAATAGTTTTAGAAGTGAAGTGGAAACTTTGAAACGTCGATTGCAAGCAATAACCAGCGAGCGTGATGTGGCCAAGAAAGAGGTGGCGAAGTTAACCGAAAGTGTGGACACATCAACAGCTGCAGGGTACGTTTCATATCATACTTGTTCCTTTGCGTTTGTGTGAAATTACAAAATTTTTAGAGCTGCGCTCGAAACAGTTAAGAATCAATTGCAAGAGATGACTCGACTGCGTAACGATATGCACGGCAGATTCGAGCAAGCGCGTACGTTGGCTCGTCAGTATCGCATGAAATATCAGACGCTAGAGAAGGAACAAGCCGAGTTGAAAGCGCAGTTGGAGGCCAAGCAGTCTGAGGCTCCAACTCAGTCGCAAACCACCGCCGCACCTGTGCCTGGAGCATCAACCGCAACAGCACTTTCGACCACAGATGAGGCACAATATAAGGAACAAATCAATAAATTAATGCAACAGTTGCATACCGCACAAAGTGAATGTGAGCAATATAAACAGGCAAGCAAACAGCTCTTTTTTGATAGCTGCTAGATGACTGTTTACATTTTGTGGTGCAACAGGAATGGATTCGAGAAGGTGTGTTTATGAGAGGAGGTTATTTTGAAGGGGAGTTTTGATATGACCAGTATGAGCCTCTTTCTGCTTATAAATTCAATTTGTAGAAACTGCTCACAGGACGAACAGGTTGGCCTATAGAACAGCATGGCACGTCGTCATCTCAGGCATCCACTCAGCAACAGCTGAAAGCAAACGTATTGGTGCAAACGCAAATGAAGCAAATAGAATCGCTGAATCAGCAAAATAAGGTGTGTATCAATAGTTGTATTCAATTGATGGTGGGCGGTGGAATAACGGTGCTTGTTTTGCTGCCCTTTTGCTCTCTCTCGGAAATGGCTATGTCGAGAAATTGGTTTTATTCTATGAAATTATTATGGGTTATTCCTTGACAAAGAAGTAAGACTCATTTTTTTACAAACCTGCAGGAATTGTCGAAAAAGATGGAAGAACTTGCGAGTGAGCTGAGAGAAACTCGTACGAAGTTGAGCGACGCAGAGACACAGATTGCGACACTGAAAGCAGAAACTGATTCAAAAGGTTTTTGTTTGCTCACTCCAATGATCAGACATTCCCTTCATAATGACCGTAAAAATAATGAGTTTAAGTTGGTTACATGCATACCAACATGATCTTCAAATTGTATACATTGAGACGATCGAAGGTAGAAAGTTTCAATCGTAGGAAAAGTCTTGAATGTAATGTTTAGAAGATAGACATTGAGAAGTTTTTGAAGAATATGCGTGAGACTTGGAATTTTGGGGAAATTTTAATTCAGATTCCTGTTGCCAAGATTACATTCCTTGACGGTTATTGAAGCGTGCAGATTTTTGAGAAGGCTTTCATTGGAAACTGGGAAAGTGGGAAGGGAATATCATCATTCGAATGCTCAGTGCCAAAAAGCAATTTTCTTGTTTGCAGAAGAGTTACATTTCCGTTTGAATTCAATAACGAGTATGGCAAATAAACGTGAGGCTGAGCTGACAAAGTTACGCGAAGAGATGGAGGCAAAGAAAGCCGAGTTGGAGCAATCGGAGAAACGCGTGAAGGCACTGGAAAACGAGATGAAGCAGTGTCGTTTGCAACTGAGCGAACAGGAGACAGTGGCAGGCGCTGCCTCTTCTCTGCAACCATCAACCACTGAAGCAGTGCAGCACATTCTGACCGAAGAAGGAGTCACTGCGAAACCCGTTAGGTGGTTGATTACTCGTTTACATTCTTGTCAGGTTGGAAAACGTAATTGGCCCTTTGAATGGTGATGTCTATCGTCCGATGATACTCTTCGAATATTCACTGATTTGTTTACTGTGTTCTGTATTCCGTTGTTTTTTGTTTTGTTGATATGAATTATGTTTCAGTTCGTCGACGAGTCAACCAAATCAACCGGGTGGAGTAGCTTCTAGTGCTGCTCTCATTGGTAGTGCTGCTCTGTCAGGTGCTTGTTTTTGTTATTCTTGTTTCATTTTAAAGAAAAGGATGAACTGTGCCGTGAAATAGAACAAACAACTAACCACGATCTATTCAACAATCCGGAACGTTCAGGTGCTCTTATCTCAACAACAGGAGGCGCATCAAGCGCTGCTGTCGTTTCTGCACCAATGGGTGCGTCAACCCCATTCTCGGCTGATCCATCGAACGCCTCTGAATCTACCGTTTCTGCGTCAAAACCCCAACTTGTTGAACAGCAAGCGAGCGTTGCTGGTCAATCTGTATCGACAACAACTGAGCAGGTAAATTCACTCGGACTTCGGATGGTTGTCTAGTGTAGCGGTAGTGGGTTTGATTATGGGTTGCGGCTTAGCTGGTTCGATTCCGTGTAACTCGGTCAGCATTCATGTGTACTCGATTCGTCCACTTTAAATGACGAATCGTAGAAGGGAAGAATGCAAAATTGGGAAGCTTTAGATGCCGACGTAAAGGTTTCCATTTGTATGGATATCGAAAGGCACCTCTGATGCTGACATAATTCCATTCATCACTCGATAAATTCTCTTTTCTCTCACAGAAATCCACTCATGCTAGTGAATGTGGCTTTTGTATTGCGATTGCAGTGAAAAATTTTCTTTACTGTGGAAGTCCCTCTGATAGTTTCAAAAAAACTTCGGAAAAAGGGATGTGTGAAAGTTATTTGGACAGTGAAGGTGCTTGATCGTTAACTGATTTGCAGTCGTCGGCTCAAGTGCAAGTTGCAAGCAGCAGTGAGTCGATGAAAAGTGACGTATCTGCGACGGCAGCTGGTGGATCGACAGTGACGAGTATCTTCGGTAATCAGCATCAGGGATTGGTCCTTAGCGGTGCGCAGCAGCCGGCAACGGTCAGCGCAGCGACAAAGACACCAGCACTGTTTCAAGCATCAGCACTCGACACCTCTGCTTTCAAGTCAACATTCACAAGCGTGTCCAGTCTTGTACCGGCAAATCAGGTTGTTACGTTACACTATCACGTGCACAATTGCCCGACTTTAATTCAGTTGCATTTTCCTTTGGAATGCAGTAAAAATATTGACTAAGAATTTTTAAGAGCAATACGGTGAGCCAGTCGAGTACGCCACCGTCAGCTATCTCTACATCATTCAGCGGAGGACTGATGCCATCGCAGCAACAACAGCATAAACCACCACCCCAACAAAATGGTCACTATTTTATTTTCATAAATATGTGTTCTCATAAATGCATAAATTTGCAATTCGATCATATTGACCTAATTTTTCTACAAAATTTCAAATGTGTGGAATCAAAAACATGAAATTCCACTTCTTTCTATTGTTATCTGAAATAGAAAGAAGTGAAATCAAAGTGTGTTTATCAATAAAAAGACTACAATGATCAGTTTCACATGAACATATTCGTTGTTTATTATATCATGAGAGGAAATGGTAATGGAATATTCTATTTTCAGTGATATCGGGCAGCGGTGACGGTACGAATGTGATTAGTAGTAGTGGGGCCGGGAACGTGGCAATAACGTCTGGCTTAACAGCGTTGCCGCTGTTAGGAAGCACCAGTAGTGGAATACCTAGAAAACGACAACAACCGCAAAGGTTAGTTCATTTGCGCTGTTTGTTGAAAAGTTGGCCATTGAGGATGAATGAAAGTCTGAGAAAGAAACAAGTGCTCTTAATCATGTTTCAGTGATCAGTCGTCATCGGTAGAAACTGGCTCAGATATACAAGATCCGGTGAAGAGACAAAGAGCAAGTCCATCTGAACAGGTATTTATCAGTAGTTGTCTCATGACTGGAATGCAAAAGTCGACATTAAGGTATCGACTAGTGGTCGTTTCGTGCAGTCGAGTAGTGAAGCGATGCGCGCTGAGAGTAAGACGGTACATGCCGACGATGATGAGGCTGAACAGGAACAGCAGGAGAGCGGTTGGTTATTGTTTGCTTCTGGGGAGAGATTAGTCGAAAGGGATGGAAATGAGTATTTTGTCTTTTGGGATAGAACAGACCTTTAGTGTGTTGACTGATGGGACATCATGATTGCATTATAAATACTTGAAGTGGAAACAACGACAAATCCAGAGGACGAAGGCGTTGGAGAGGATTTTTTGGCTGAAGATGCGGATGTGGCTGGTGAGGTGAGTGAGTGGTGCTCTGATGTATATGCTGATGTGTTGACAACTGAATGATTAAGGGTGGTGAGGATGGTGGTCGTGCGCAGGATCATGAAGAAGAGGATGAAGATGAAGAGGACGAGGAGGAAGAAGATAAACTGGTAGTTGAAGGACTGGAAGAGGAGGCCGGATCGGGTTCGGGCGATGAGGTTCTGGTCGATGAAGATGTCGAGGAGACACTTGGCGATGCGGTGCGCATATTTTGATTGTCATTATCTGTTATTTTATTGGAAGGTGTGCAATTTGCGAGCGAGTTGCAGGGTGATGAAGAATACGAGGACGAAATGGAAGAGGATGAAGAGTACGAGGAAGATGAGGAGGATGAAGAGGAGCAGGAGGACGACTTCGATGAGGAGGACATCTCCGAGTCGCAGTCGCAGTCCCGTCATCAGCTCTATCGAAGAGGGGCGTCGACGCATCAGCACAAAGCACGTATGCCGGCCGCAGCCATTGCACCACAGCAGCAACATGTCAGTCTTTTTAGACACCTTATTTAATCTGACTCGTTTGCTTGTTCAGCATAATGTTTTACAGCGGCGTCATGCGGATGAAGAAGAAGACGACGATATAATATTGATCGATGATGAAGAAGAGGAGGAGGGTGAGGGCATCGAGTACTCCTATTCACCTGCCGAGCAATCGATGGATGAGGCTGACGAGGGGACACGAGCCGTCACTGGCAGACGGATTGGTGAAACGGTGACGCAAGATGACGACGCTGACACAAGTCTCGATGAACCGCACCGGGCTGAACGTGAGAATGAGGATGAAGATGAGCCTGGTGCGCTTTTTATTGTTGTCATTTAGAATTATGGATGTGAAATATTCACTGGGGTGAAAGCAGCATCTCGATTGAAATCTGCTGATCGCTAAATGAATGAATTTTAACGAAGCCACTTTATATGATAGTTCAGATGAGAGACAAGCAGCTCGCGAATTGAACCAACCGCACAATGCCAATGACGATCATCTAGAGCTACAGCAAGCTTCTGCTGGTGCGTCCAGACTGCAGTCTGCTCTGTCGTCGTCGTCGTCGTCGTCTGCGTTACAAAAGCAGTCTGCCTCAGCCGTCGAAAACGTTGGAGCACATTCTGGCGGTACGATTGCGGGCGCAACTCAGTAAGAGCTAAAAAATAAGTTTGAGAGTTTATTGAGAACTGATTGAGGTCTCAACGATGAATAGTGGTTTTGCGGTGGTGGGCTTTGTATCGATGGGAGGAAATATTCGAGGTTTAGATATGAACCTTTGCTAATAACAACTGAGGTGTTGAAATTTGTTGGAAAAAAATAGGAGCAGATATTCAAATTTCATTCGGCAATGTTTCGAGGAATGTAATTGATGCGAATAGTTTCAGGGGAGGCAGTAGCAGTATCTTTCTGCATAGTGGTGAAATGGAGCTGTCACAGTCCCTCAATACCGTGTCACATACGAGCGATGTTGGAGACGGTAAACATTGTTTTGGATTCGTTTCTGAAAAATTTCTATAACGAACAGAAAAAAAGAAACTCCAGGCACCAAAACAAAGGAACTTTCAGCAGAATTTAGAGGAGTTATGTGCTCTTTTTTAAAGTTTAAAGTTTTCAATGGCTCGGCTTGGTTTCAAAACTCATATTACGGTAAGATATTTCACAAGCTTCATCAAAGATATATCACAATCAGTTTCAGTTGTGAGCGCATCAGGACTGCATGTTTCTCGTGAGACGTCGCCGTTTGTTGGTCAGTTCAGCGTTGTTATTACTTCGCTTAGGCTGTAGATTGAACATGTGAAGTGTTTTTGATTCGTGTGATGCTGAGCAGTGTTGATCTGTGCGTATAATGCAATCGCTGATTGATATTATATGCGGCGCACGAGTATGAATTGTGCATTTTGCTAAGAGATATTAGTATGCAGTTGATTACTGGTATGGTTGCGTCTGAGAAGATTTCATTGTTCAAAAGATGAGTTTCAGTGAATATAGAGTCTGATAGTCGTGGTGCTTCGAGCACTGTTCTCGGAAGCGGTGGCATCTCTGCTGTAGACGACTCTTCATCGCTGATGGTCGCTGCAGGTGGCGAGCAAATACTGTCAGATGGACAGCTGGGTGCCGGGATAGCAGATGCCGTGCTTAGTGGTGCGGTACATGGTGACGAGCTGAGTAATGACAGTATTGGCATGGAGGGACAGTTGGAGGGCGGGGAACAGGAGAACGATGGAGGTGATCATGAATACCATCACGAGGGCGATGACGCTGGTCACGACCTAGAGGAAACCGGTAATGAAGTGGCTGAAGAGGAGCATACTTCAAGCAAAAAGACGCAGCCAACTGATGATGAGGCATCGGCAAGTGACTTGACGGCTGCTGGTGCTGCTGCTGGAACTTCAGCCACGGGTTCCTCTTCGTCACTCACTCATCGCCGTATACGTATCCGATATCCGGACATCGATGAACCAAGTTCGAGCAGGTTCGTTTCATTTATTGAGTTACTTTATACTATCTGCTATTCAAACTTATATTATCTCTTTTGGCAAGCAATGCAATATTTTTCACGAAGAAGTATATACGTTTCTAATAAGAATTATGTTCTGCAATTTTCAGTACCGATGGTCCTCAAGGTGCTGGTGTACGTGCAGCTGGTGGCTTGCCTCCGATGAGAGATAGCACACGTGGTGCGGGTAGAGCGCGTGGCACTAGACGTTCACGGGGACGATATATCTGATTGAAATCAGAAAATTGTTAAAGTTCTCTTGATTTGTTTTGTTTGTTGCTTAGAATCATCTTTGTATGAAACATTTACATGAAATTTTCTCACTTGTTTCATTTCATTGCTTATAATCTTTATTCATCAATTCTTATTTTCATGTGTTTTTTGTTGTGTTCGTTTCATTTTGCACTTTCCTATGATTTGTTTTCGTTGCACTCTAAATGATAACATGCGGATTCTGTCATATTATGGTAATATGATTCGTTTGCGGGGTATTTGTTGAATTGATCGTTTTGAGTGGATAACTTCCATTTTCTTACGGCTTGTTCAGTTGGGTTGTAGTTGTGTTTTGTGGTGGACTATTTAATATATTCGCTTCTTTTCTGCTTTTGTGACGTTTTGACGGTTTTATCTTTTCTCTTATATTATACAGGTTTTATTCTGATCGATTTCAGTTTGTCGTCTGAATAAGAGCACTGATTTCGAGTTTTAAAATCGACTCGTTGAAAATGATCTAGTTTCTTGAGATATCTTACGACATGTTCCATTTCATTGTTTCCTGTTTTGATGGAAGAATCAACTGCTTTGTGACATGCACGATTTGAAGCTAATTTTCGTTGGTATCGTTGGCTGACTGCAAAGTTTATCTGCTTTGAACATTTACTGTTTATTGTGTCACTGTTGTTATGGAGTTTCATTTTGCTTTTCATGAATTTATCTAGATATGGTCGGCGATAAAAGATTTCTTTTGATCGCAACGTGTTTTTGCTTTATAATGCAGTCGTCTATCTCTTCTGAATTTCGTACTGGAAGGAAATATTGCAAGAAACGTGCAATATGAAAACTGAAAAACTTATTCTCCCAAAAAGTTTGGTCAACTTTGTCATCAAACTCTCATTTCTGTGTGTAGGAGAATCTCCAAACTTTCAACGATGTGTGATTCCTGTGATTTATAATACCCGTGAAATTCATTGACATTTGAAAATTTCAGGCATACTGCAGGAAGATCTGCCGAAGGGCATTAATTAGTGTTGAAAGATGCAATGTTAATAGAGTGAGTTGTGGCCACCGATAGGCAAGTTTTGAGCATCGGTCGGTTTTCGATCGGTGGAAAATGAAATTCAGTTTGCCTAGCCACCAATCAAACAAGCCTTTGCAATTGTGACCGAGCAGAGGGATTATCATGTGACGATCGGAGGAGTTGAAAATTTGTTTTTATCGTCAATGTGAAGGCAAGTGATCAGTCAGTCTGTATATATTATGAAACAAAAAACATCTTACAATCAATATAAATACAACAGAATCATTCACTCGGAGAAGCAACCTTAACAAGAAATGTTATCAAGAACAATTTCTAAGCGAATAACACTTATTACATAAAGCCTAACATAAGACATGCTTTATCGAACTGTCATATTTTTTTAATGTTCTAATTTCTCATAACGACCAGTTTCGTCTTTTCTGGAGCTGAGCGTAAAAGTCCAGGAATAGTGCGAGCTTAAGTTTGCCTAAGCCTATGCCTCAAATTCCGAGCTCACTGTTGAGAACTGGAATCTAATACGAAAGAGACACCTAACACATGATCATTCCAGTAAAAACTATGGGCGTTAATACAATCGTTATTCTGAATCTTTCTATGGGAATCAGATTACTCCTATTTCTATTTCATTTTGATTTCTTCCATTGTCATTTTTACATATCTCATATAAAAACCTTTTGAATTACATATGAACATAAACATTCGAAATATAACAAGATAAGAGATGAATCAGTCCGTATAAAAGCGACGATGGAATGAATGCTTGAGAATCCAAAACCCGTCCGGATTTGAGTGTGGAATCATTGCAGGAAGCCTCGGATGATTTCAGAAAAGTGCTTGAAAGGGGCACGGCCGGAATATCAGACGAGGCTGCTGCCATACGGATAGGAATTGGCTCATGCGTTTTGATCATTTTGAACTTGCTCTTAACATCACAGAAACGATAACAAATTATCGGCACCTCAAGGTTGATTTGCCTTTACCATTGTCACAATTAAATACAAACTCAGTTTCAAAGGTAAATCACAGCATGAGCTAAATTTGATGTTAGCGATAAATACAATCTGAAGAAACTTTTAAGTGAGAGGTTTGAATGAACGAAAACAATGATCCGGCCACAGAGTTAATGAGGACAACGAAGGCTAGGCCACTGAGAAAGGAATGAGAGAAAAGCTGCAAGATGATACGACCTTAGAAGTGAATGGAAGGTGAACTATTGAATAAATATTGGCGGCCGAAAAAGAATTTCAGCTGAGGAACTGAAAGCTTATTCAACAACAAACGGAAATTTTCTCATTGGAGAGATCAACCAAGTGTTCAACAGAAATAAAAATACAACAACTAAAATATTTCGACAAAACAGCCGTTGTTGACCATTGCAATGTTTTTGAAAACAACTAGTATAAATTTTGTTCAGCTGGCTAGTTTCTTCCTGTTTTTCAAACGTCTTCCAAGTTTCGAACGATCCACGGCCATTTTGTTGTATCGAAACTTAAATATAACGTGAATGCGTTTGAATGCTAAACACAATCAGCCTGTGCTCAACCAAAAATGTATTGTTAGATTTTATTTCGCAATACCCCGAATTGAATTGACAGTTGGTCTCGTAGAAGTCAACAGAAAACAGTTTTGTTTTTTCTATGAGGTAGCATAACACTGACTACAAGTTGTTCAAGCAACTGAAAGCCCGTGTCCTAGTTTTGTTGTCGGAGATTTTACAGCCTATTGGGCCGTAAATTAATAGACAGCCTATTGGATATGACTAGAAAGGGCTTTGAACGACTGAACACTAGTATTTAACAACTACGGCAGCGATCGATGAAATACACAGAGGGTTATTCTGAAATCGATGTGGTTCTTCCGAGTTGAATTCGATGGATAAATGCCGTAGGACCGTGCGGTAGGATATCCAGTGTGGATACGGGGGCGACAGTATTATTGTTCATCTCGGTTGCTTTTCGTTTTGCCTTGTCGTCTCCGACTGACAGCGACTGTGAAGAGAGTGTCGAGGAGAACTGAAATGAAGAAAAATGAGACGTATTTTTTCTGCGACCGCCATTCCTGCCTTAATCGATGAGATATCAGCCGTAACGTAAATTGTCTCCTTCAGTGACGACACTTTCTGCTCCTAAATGTTAGAATTTTTTCAGGACAGAACATTCGGTTCTTTACAGAAAATACGTAGGGTTTTTTGTGAACTAACGATCAAAAGTCCGCGAAAATATTACACATTCAAGATGTAATCTTGTGAGAATATATCAGTTTGGTTCTATGGAATTGCTGTCTTCGACAACCAAGAGCGTGAACTAACATGTTGGTTGATTTTGCTGACAAGTTTCTTTGTCTTATAAAAACTATCGTTCCGTGAATGTGATCCTTGTGAGCTGCGCTCTGATGATGACGACTGCATACTCTTCTTTTCAGATTCTGAAATCTATGATTGCGTAAAACATGTGTCACTTAATAAATAGATTTGATTTGGAATACTGACCAATAATCCGAGATGTGATCATCGTAAGAATGGCTGGCAAAACAATAAGGCCATGTGAAACACCAAGCACAACAACAACGACAATAGTCTTGAGGAACACCATCGCCAGATAGGATTGTTTGAAGAGAAGCGGCAAGAGAGCTACCACTGTTGAGAGGCCAACTTGAATCATTGGCCAACCGATTGCGGTCAGCGCTTCTTCGAGACGATCTCGAGAATTCTGAAACTATACGAATGGGTAATTTCGGGTAAGAGTTGATATATTCTCTGAGGTATTTGCTCACTGATCGCATTGTAATCAGTTCACAAGCAGTCAGTTCAGAACCTTGGCAATGGCTTTGTAGTAATGATAGCTGATATGCGCCGTAAAGTCCACCGAACAGCCGATGGCCATCAGCAGGGCAGCCATTGACAATGGATCCAAGTCGACACTCCAGTGTGACAACAAGCCAAAAACACCCGTGCTTATACTGAACACCGAAAACACGGCACATCCTATTGTGGTCATATTCGGGATGAAAACAAAACAAGCCGCGGCTGTACAAAACAGCGCCGCAGCCACACTCGTTAGTATCGTACCTTGAATTGAAAGAGTCTGAAATTTTAATGTTATTCAACGTGATAGAATTCAAGAACAACTAGGAATGTCAATCCGTGAACATTTTTTGCCAATAACACTTCAGTGAGCTGCTCAGATGTCATGTTCGAGAGTTTGATGGTGTGATTTCCGAATTTCACGTCAAAAAATGCTACTCAAGAGTTCGGTTGGTGGCGAAAGTGAGATTCAAGGTTCGAAGGAGAGTCAAAAATTGAATACGGAAGAATGGAGAAGAAGAAGTGAACGAACCTGGTCAACGAAAGGTGAATGCTCACTGTACGGATACACTTCGTAATCGGAATATTTGGCCGCTATGCGCCTCCAGTCAGCAACCGCCGGAATCATTTCGTGATACTTAACGATCTGAAAATGGCACTTTGCGAGAATGCAGCCGTGCTTTTTAGCGGAAAGGGAGGTCAAGAATCTGGAAGGTCACAAGAAGAATATGGAAAAGAACCTCATGGAAATTGGTGACGAAGAAGAATGCACTGATACACTGCGGCTGATTCTCGTAACAAGCAGTTTCATTCATTCTTACGAATGAACTCAAGAAGAAATATGTCGCCGATTTGAAGAATGTCGGAATTTCGGTATACACGAAATCGTCAGTTTCACCATAAAATCTGTTAAAAGTGAATTTTTCTCGAACTGCGCAAAGCTTTGGCGATAAACAACGGAAGAGAGGGTTTAATAATTCAGTGAGAAAAGAGATGTTGAAAAGGAGTGGCTCTAGCGAAGAATCGCAGTTGTTTAGAGAGGAACGATCAGTTCTGAAAATCTCCTCTGCTAGTTAGTGGGTAATAAAGCCAGAAACCTCAGGAAGTCTTCGTATTGCTGTAACCAGAAGAATGTTGACTCATTACCATAACTGAAAACGCTGTGTTCGAATTCGTAAACCAACGATTTGATAGCTGCAATTTCATGAAGCATTAAATAACATATTAAGTGAATTAATTCAATGAGAAACAAAATAGCTACAAAAAAAACCTGAGGTTCCATAACAAGAACTGAACCTTTCATGCGAGCTGGATCCCGTAAATCGCCAGGTTTCATGACAAACACCGTAATCGGTTGCATATTGCGAAGTGCCGTTTCATAAGCTTCTTGAAAATCGCGTAGATACGAGTCAGGTAATGCCATTTTATCAATTGAAATATGAGCGTGCAGTTGCTGAATACCAGTTATTGATATGTAATAATAGAGAGTCATTACCATGGCAAGCACAATCCTGAAAATTAGACATGATGCAAAATGCTGACACTCCACAAATATGCTTCCGTTAGGTTCGTAATTCAGGGTTTGCTTCTCTTCATATTTTTAATGAAGTTTCGAACATTTCTGTTTGCAGTATCGAGAATTTATGGGTGATTGTTCAGTATGCGTCATAAGTAGATGGAAAGAAAAGAGTTCATGAGTAGATTTGAAAAGAGGTGCAATAGGCCGGTGGTGTTGGGCTTCAAGGATCCGATCAGCTCAGAGGGCTACGTTTGATTCTAAGTCAGTCGAAAATCTGCTGAAATTCGATGAGTAGTTTGAAAAGTAGAGAGAAAATGGAGAGGACTCAGTTTCAATAATATCAGGGATTCGTACCTGGCTGACCAAGATGAGATTATGGCAGACCATTTCTTAATAATTACCGTTTGTAAATCATTCGCATTCTCCACCGTACAACTGTGTGCCTGGAAGAAGTGGTTAATAATAATAAAGTGAGACAATGATGCAGATAGGCTCTGCTCACATCAAACTCATCACGAACTTAAAACTCTGCTAAAAATAATCGAAACAGTCACTTGGTCAAACAAGTAAGCAAATAAATGGTCGAGTACCCGTGGATTGGCTTTGAAACAACATAACAACGACTGAAAGCCATGTTTTTCACGATGTCCACTTAGTGCGAGAACGGCCGTGAAAAGGACGAGCTGATAGAAGTAGCAAGTAATTATGGCGATGCATGAGTATATCGAGAATGTTCGAACGGCTGGTGTTGACGAGAGAATTCCGATCGCGAACGATAAGGCATTCGTTAAGGAACTGAAATTCGATTGGCAACACTCCATTCATGAACTTTTTTTCGTAACTGAAAGAGGATTCTAAACAGGCATCTCAATCATTCGATGCAACTCTGAGAAATAAATCATTTCGCTAATAAAGCTTCTATCGAAACGACGCCAGTGCAAAATAATGGAAGCGAATAGTACCTAATTGTGATTGAAGGGCCGGCTTCTTCAAGTGTTTTCGATAATCGCAACGGTACATCTAGTTTCATATCAGTACGATCCCAACCCCGTAGAATGATGAACACATCGTCAACACCGACCGATAATACCAAGAATAACGATGCGACGACGATCGATTGGAACTTGATACCCATTGATGAGATTACGGCCGTTGACGTGATCATTGCCAGTACCGGAATTAAGCAACCGATCAGAGATTCCCATGGCTTACTTTTGATTGGATTAGCACTGAAATTTGAAGGTACTCCCTCGATTCATTGATGTGTACCTAATTATGGAAGACGAAGGAGGGGAGGGGGTGGGGTGAAGAGATGGCTTGAATGTGTTCTGCTTTCATTTTGTTTTAATCAACGAGTGATATGCAAAGTGTTTCTTATGAACCATTCAGTGAGTATCTAATCCGCAACATTTCCGTTATATGAAATAATTGCATACGCGTTGAAACATTTAGAGCTAACAAAAAGTGCTGAATGGATCATGAATGTGTGAAATTTTGGGATTATTCAGTTTGTTACACAGTTTGTCATGGAAATTTTTGTTTCACAGTCATGGAAATTAAGAGAGGGACTGAAAAACGTTCCGAGAGCAACTAACCGGAATGAACAAGCGACCACAAAAATGACCATTACCGCAACTGAACAGAACAAAATTGGAGCAGTTTCCATACCCATCCGACGAACCTCTTCAGATACCAGACTATCGCCAGTTATACCAACCTATTACGATCGAATGCTGACATACTTTTCAATTTCTTCTGATGCATATCCTTATCCTCAGCGTATTCTTATCAGTGTGTGTATCTCACTCACTAGCGCAAGGAAATGTTTGATATTCTTCATAAATATTTTTAGTAAGGCTCTTGCATTTCATCCATCAACACATTCAAAAGAGTGCGTTCCACCTCAGCAAAAGAGTCATTCTGGTTAGCAGCATTGTTCTTCTCAGGCAATAAACGATTATAACCGGTTGAAACACGAAAAACTGAGAAGAATAAAATGAATCTTTGACAAGAATCAATAAAATAAATCTTTTCGCACCTCTTCGAAACTTCGCTCCCAAAAAATGCGAAAAGTTGCCTCATGAGAGACACAAGCGGGCGTTTGTTTCTGTCGAATGATGAAACAAAGAACCTCAATCATAAATGAGAATTTCATCTCAAAAACGCAAAACTTTTCAGGTGAATGCATGAATCCCTAATGAGGAGCACTTCTCTTACGATTAGTCAAATGATACGGCAAATTCTTGGAAAGAAAATTTCCCGGAAAATCGTAAGTGAGATGTTAAGGAAGTTCTTGAAATACCTTAAAAATGGAATATTCTTCATCTTTGAAACATCGATCCGCCTCCAGCTGCCACTGGTAAAGAAGTGGCCTGAATTCATCGGGAGCCACCACAAAGAAGGGTAATATGGCTGTGGTGAACGACTCTATATTTTTACTATTCTCTTTCAACTTTATCCCATACGCGTTATTACCTGTAGTTCCACTCATCAACATCGTATTATTGCAATGCTTATACTGTTATTTGCAGAATCATTATTGGGATGTCATTGTGCATTCATTCAAAACACCAGTATTGTTCAGAGCAGTGAGCAAATTCTTTAAGCGATCTGTTTTTTCGATCCCGTTCGAGATCATTCATGACTTCGCACTAAATATCCCCAAATCCGTTTTCACATATACCCTTAGTTACACCAATCCATTATCAAGTGAACCGAACCATCACAAAATATTAAAACAATATTTCTGGCTGAGGAAAAATTTGACTATAATCGTAAAAAGTAAATAAACAAGTAATTTCATCGCAGCGCAAATCTATATAATAAAACTGTTGTTAGCTTACAATTAGACTATTCAGATGAATTTGAACAATGTCACTAGTGCTGCGACGGTGCGATTGGTATTTATCAGTTCTTTAGTGATCAAGATTTTATTATTTCACTTGTTTTTGTCCAAATAGGTTGTAAACAAGCGACTTTAACAAGAACACCGCTTTGAAGCATGTGACTATAAATCTGATCAAGGGATTAAAGAAGCCACAAGAATACCGATACTAATTCTAAAATAAGTAAGTAATTGTCACTCCGCCAACGAACCAATGAATGCCTGCGTGCCGAATAGTTCAATTGCCGGATAAGTTGAAGTTGTTGGATTCCCAGGATCGTAGAGTCTCAAGAAAGCCAAAAATGCGGTGTTCATCTCGCAGTATGGCTCACACAGATCCGTGTAATCGTACCAATGTCCTTTGTACTTAACCGTGACGTTACTTTGCAGTCGTTTTGTCAGATTGATCAAACCCAATCGATATTCGTCACGCAGTAATGAACCACCATCACGTGCTCGCACCATCACATAGGTTGGATCAAGGGTACCATTCTGAAATACTGCTCGCCTTTATTTCAACACAGGGCCGACCCTCTCTTGAGCATTTTTCATTTTGAATCAATTTCCTCAGCAAATTTTTGAGTTTCTTTGAGATGAGTGAATTCTCTTTTGAGCACTGCCTCGGTAAGTAGTAATAAATGAATTGAAGATATGATATCTGAATGGCGATCACCACTAACCTGCCCCAAAAAATCTTTCGCGACTGCGTACTCCACTCGACTTGGCGCATTCAGTGGTGAATATTCGGTTCGAACGTTGTTAATTTCATCGAAATTCAACAATCCCACACTTAGAAAGAGCGTCACGATGAAAGCACCACAAATGACAGTGACCGGACGTTGTCCAATGGAGAGACCAAGTTTTGAAAATAGTCTCGCAATGAAATGCTCGAGGGCATGAATTATACCCATTGCCAAGCAGTTTGCGATCAAGAAAATATGCTCGCTTTTTGGTGTCGTTTCGTTTGGATGATAAGTTGACGAATCTGTTTGTTGCTTATGACGAAGGAGAGTGAATCTGGAATTGATGAGAAGCATTTTGAAAATGGCTTGATTCACGTCAACGATCCAGCACGACAACACTTCATTTTTACTAACATTTCGACTTTCTCAGTCGGTGAATAATTTTACAACAAAAGAGAACGCAAAAACAATAGATAAGCATTCGGACTGTCCGAGTTGATGAAGCGTTCACCGTTCTGTGGCCTCGCTGGACCTTTTAGGTCAATGCAAAAATTCCTTCAGAAAAGGATTAAATAATTACCGGAAATTGACGATGAAAACCGAAAATTGTTGGTGAAAAGCGAAATATCTATCTGTAAAAGGAATGCGAGGCGTTCTGAAATTGTTTGGCAAGAGGCAAACATGTAAGGGTATCACTATAGGAACAAGGTGAAGACAATAATTCGAAACTCATTATTATGATACAGTGCACTTTTGAATCGAGTCGCTCAAAAATTAAGTTTCTCTATGAACAACATCAAAGATTATTACCCTTAATGATTTCACGTGATTGAACTGCTTACGTTCATTTAACACCGCGTGCAATAGTTTTGCAATTGGTTGTTTAATCGATGTTGCACGCGAGCATAAAATATCTCTTCAGAGGGTAGTTGGTGTGATTTGATTAGTCTCGCAAATCGCAAGGTTAGAGTACGGTCAGCCGATTTCTTCATTCGGGAAGTACAATAATTGCGGCACTTGTTCTGCATCGTGAACAGTATATTTCATAAGGAACAAATGACAGCGATTAATAAGCAATTGATAGTAACGGTAGATAATTTTCACTATGAAATTTGAAATTTACGCAATTTGATAGTAACATTTCAATGATATTAATAATCTCATTACAATTATATTGGCTGATAACACATATTTGTAAAAGTGGTCAGGTGCATTTGCAGTACAGAGACTGATGACTGTAACACAAATATGATAAAAATGAGCAGATAATTAGACACAAGCCAAATCATAGTCTGGCTCAGGCTCGGTGACATTGGTGTGTCGCAGTTCGATTTCGTTTGCGGAAGAAAGTTTTGCTCGAAACCGAGTGGTGTGCCAATGTCAACAAAAAGATGATTATAGCAATCAAAACAGTGATGATAACCACAAGAACATCAATAAAAATAACAAGAATAATAAAATCAAACACAATATAGCAATAATAAACAGCAATGGTAAAAGAGTAAACAAATCGAAGCTGTCAAACGATGATTAACATTGAATGTGGTAGATTGTTCGTGAATCAATTAGGTCATTTAAAACAAAATAAATTAAATCGGCGACGATGGCAATGATATGAAAAAACTTGTTTTTTTTTACGTAATTAAAAGTTGATAGTGATACGTAACGGTTACGATGATACAATGTTTTTTTGCAGTGATTTTTGCTTTCATTATTATTAAGTCATTTGATTTGCATCATTATCTCATCGTTTTTACCGGTACAGATAGCATCATCATTACTATTTTCTTTCAACTCCTTGAATACATTCACGCAGATTCAGAGGATTCTCCGGTAGTTTCAAAACCAGTGAACGAAGGATGGATTTGAAATTAAGGAAAGTCAGATTGAATATGGTGAAAATGAATGAATAATGAGTAAAGGCAGTAGATGGGTTACAAGGCTTTCTAATTGGCTGTCGATTGGTTCATTCGAAAACGAGCAATGATCTGTTTTATTGGGTACAATGTCAACAGACAATGCAGCCAAATGCCTCTGAAACGAAGAAGGAAAAGGACTATTGCTGAATGAATTTCTCGAATAAATTTGCGAGGCTTTGCGAGCCAATCACTTGCGATATGAGATTCACTAAATCGGATAAAGAACGGAACAAGAAAAAGATTTAAAGATTTTGATCGGAAAGAGGTTCTGTCATTGCGAAAGTGTGTTTGTTGAATACTGAACTTGTTATGCGGTTGGGAAACAAATTTTGCTGGTGGACCCTTGAAATTACTTGCATTGTTTGTTGTTTGCATGCAAATGAAAGACATCGCACGAACTTCTCACCGCTTAGATGAATCGTTAGTCTATTTTTTTACATTACAATCAGGAAAATCTCTAAACGGAAAATGCATTTGAATCATTTCTAATGAATAAATTTTCAACAAAATTAATGTTGAACTTCCATTTCACAATTGCTGCATCATGGATGTACCATGAATGAAGATGCTGGTATTGCTACCAAATCAGTTCAAAAAATTCACCGATTTGGCATCAATATACTTGTATAATGACACTGATTTATACTGTTATCATTAGAAGATCATTCAGTGATCGGTAAGCTAACAGAATTTTGCACAACAAATGCCTCATTATAATAAAAACGTCGATTCATTCTGTTTTATCATGTGTTCAGTTTGATGATCTGATGTTAATCCTACCTTAGCAGAACAACGACATTTCATCAAAGCAGTGATTGACAAAGTTCCTTCCACTCAGTCAGAGACTGGCAGTTTCATCCGAAACCGGCTCGTTCGGTTCGAGCGATCAACTCGATAAACGACAGCACGTCCAAGCGGTCGATCATGCAAGCAAGCATTATTCCTGGTTATAATCTTATCAGACGATTATGTTGTGTCCATCCATTCTCTAGCAAACTGCGCAGTTATCATTATCCTTTATCCGTTGCTATATTAACCTTGATTCACTGTTTTATTTTGCTTGTCAGCGTGACGGCCACCGCAAGAGTTTTTGGTACAGGATCTTTAGATGCTGATTATCTTTTCATTTCATCTTGAATAATGTCATACTAAACTTACTATTACAATTTAGAGATTCTGTGCGTGAGTGCCAAAAAAGACTCATCGAACAGTCAAAATTATGGAGTAACAGAAAGGGAACCATCGACACATATCAATGAAATGATTCAATTAGTTATTGGTGCGATAATCGTGTTCTGGTGCTGTTGATAGAAGGCGTATCAACAACTATCTTCAATTATCGCGATAGACATCACACTTGACGAATGTGTTCTTTCAGTAAAAACAGAATTTTGTTACCTGCAGAGCATAATCCAATCAACTGATTTTTATTCCAAATGCTATGAAAAAAAGCATCGGAGATGAGGGAAGCAGATGTTTAATTGATGCATTTTCTTGAACAACTTGAAAATTCGTCTCGAACTAACTGACTCGCAACTTGATGGTACAACAGGTATGAAGCAGCAGCAGCAGCAGCAGCAGTTGATTACAATATCATCCATGTTTGCAGTCGAAGATAGGAATGTTCGTTGCATTAAATATCGCGATGGATATTTGTTTTTGAGAAGACGTTCACTCGATATTCATAAATCACTGCATGTTATATGCTACGATTTGAACTGGTTTCCACATTGTGTGCGATCTAGTGAAGATAATAATAATGCACATCTAAGTGAGCCCTTGTGTTTCGTAATTACATCTTTGCTCATTCGAATATTACTTCGCATTCTGGTGAGGCATGACTCGTATCAAAAACTATGGATAAACATTATCAGTGCAGCAATTGATCAATATGGAAACTGAATAATCTGACTGAGGCATCAAGTGAATTCAGTTTCGAGAAATTATGTTTCATAATAAGACCATTGCAATATATGATTATCCAGGATGTTTTTCTATAGGAACCACAGCAATGTTCTCTGCACCTTTCAGTGCATATCACCAAGATCAACGAATTTGCTCGGTAATGAAAAGAGTTAAGAATTCGAGTAGTGCTATTTTCAAAATATTTCTGACTCTGTCAGAGCAACGAATTTGCAGAGCATCGAGAACTTCAAAAAAATTGCAATAAAATGAAGCAGATGAGACCGCTACGACTGGCTGGAGAAATACAAAATAAATAAAAAATTCTATCAGCCTTCCGTATGTGAATTTTGTGTAAAAACACAAAATTGGTCACGATGCAGAACAAATGTCATTTGCTGATGGAAGCATTCGTCAGTGAAAAAATCAACTGGTCTTCATCAATGTATAAACTATTTGATAACACAATATCGTTACATACCACATCGCATAATTTCATTGATCAGAAAGTAATGGAACTGGATGACTGAAGTGGAAGAAACGCCGAAAATTGAATTCGAAAAATGAGACGGTCCATAAGGACTTTCTAAGCGATTTGACGAAAAACGAATCTTTCGGCTGTTAATCTGTTCTATTGATTGAGCGGAGCTACACTAACTAATTCATTCACACATTTGCCTCTTGAAAAATTTATAAATAAAGCAGAATGCTTGGCTATGGAAGTGAATTTGAATAGTAATTATGATAGCGTAATTTACGAGCGCAGTTTTTGAGAATAAATCATCGTCCGAAATTTGCTGCAGAAACCTCGAAAGTTTTCAATTTGCAGCCGAAAGTATTTACCACACGCAATTGATTCTTTAATGGGCGAGTGATCGACGAAACCAGTTGTGATCGGAAATCGTTTTGTTTGTGATGAATTTTGTAGTGATAAGTTAATTTGCAACAAAATTTGATATTGAATCACTAACTTCTTCTAGTTTCCGTTCAGCTCGAAATATCCGCAGAAAGAGGATTTTCTGTTGCTGAGAGATCAAAGAGTTGAATTCGATGCTGAAAAAACGCTGGAATAAGACATCATCAAGGCACGAATAGAATGAATGCTTATATAAGTTGGAAGAAAGGAGATGTATTTTGTAATGAGAACGAGATTGAATTAAGAACATGCACAACACTTTACTGTGCATGTTCTTCAAGAGGAATTAACGAAAGAAAAAAGTCTCTCAGCATGTGTCACTCTACAGATCACACGATGTTTTTTAAAATTTAATTAGAGCACTACGTTGATTTGAACAACCGATGGCATTGTTTTGCACTTCGTCACCACAATCGTGGCTCAATTATCTTTCAATAATCGTTGCATTAACCTCTCGTGATAGAAAATATTGTCTCTTGACATGGTTCCGA